AGCAGATAAACAAAAATCTTGTCTGTATTTGACATCACACTTGTAAAAATTAAGCGTGTAAAAATTCTGCAAAAGAAATGTAAACGTGCAAAGAAACTATTGTCAATAACATCACACATACACACACAGAAGAAAATGTAAATAATTGATTTCTTTATAATTACAATAATTTGAATATTGAAATTATTTTGTACCATATGCTTTCTCACACTTATTTGTATGTGATTAATAATAAAATATGTTAATGACAAATAATAAATTACAAGAGCGTATTCTGGTTTGAAAGATCTTAAACGTTCTCCGGAAAATCGATTTTCTCTAGATTTTCTTGAAACTGTAAATATACATTAATTTATAGGTGTGCTTTATGTGTAGTATAAATTTTAGTACCTTTTGCGGTATTAAAAATCGAGATATTGAGCTTCAAAGTTTTAACTTTCAACACGGAATTCCTATTCCGAGGTATTGTGAAACAGACATTTTAATGACTAGTCTTTCTTTTTGAAAGACTAGTATATGATGCTTTATATATAAAAATAGAAATTAATAATATGCGATAAGTTTCAATACCCTTGCGGTACTCGTTTTCGAGAAATACTTGTGTAAAGTACGCGATTTGAAGTTAACTTCTTATTTTTTAGTTGTTATATGTAATATTTAGTAAATTAACTTTAGTAAAATAAATTTTTCTTTTTAAGCATGAATACAAGTTGAGTATGACTGGAACCGGAGAAGGTCTTTAAAAATAGGTATTTTTCAGGAATTTTTTATAGGGGAACGAAGAATATGGCATGCCGTTTTACTTTTTAATAGCATAAATAAAATTATACTCAATATAAAAGTTTCAAAAAATAATTGTCTTCAGAAAAATTGCGATTCTCAATAATGAATTAAAATTATGTCTAGACATAATAAAAATTGACGAATTAAAATTATGTCTAAACATAATAAAAATTGGATGAATTAAAATTATGTCTAGACATAATTTTAATTCATTTTTATTATGCCTAGACATAATAAAAATTGGCTGAATTAAAATTATGTGTACACATAATTTTAATTCATTTTTATTATGTCTAGACATAATAAAAATTGGATGAATTAAAATTATATGTTAAAATTTAATAATAATTGTCGAACAAAATAAAAATTGTATGAATTAAAATTATGTCTAGACATAATTTTAATTCATTAATAAAAATCGCAATTTTTCTTAGACAATTATTTTTTGAAACTTTTATATCGAGTACAATATTATTTATGCTATTGAAAAGTAAAACGGTGTGCCATCCAATTTTCATCAAATTTTACTTTGACGAATTAAAATTATGTCTAGACATAATTTTAATTAATTATTTTTATGCCTAGACATAATAATAATAATGTTTCTAAACCATTTTTCTGTTTATTGTAAATTGGAGAATTAGTTTTTATTTGTATACTAAAAATGTTTGCTATTAAAAAGTAAAACGGCATGCCATAGAAGAAAGCGTATAACGTTAAACTTTGCATGTTCTTTTAATCTTATTTTAAAGATCTATTTTTATTTTTTAAGTAAGAAAAATATTCTTCTTTTTTGTTACTTTTATATTATATCTTGATCACTAAAAGACGTAAGTATGAGAGACGAAGTAAATGATTCTAGCTGTTCTAGGTATCAGAAACGTAAAAACCAAAAATTTTCTTATTCAGAATAAGTGATATGGGCTATCGTCTGAACTAGAATAAACATTTTCTTTTAATAAAATACTAATAAAATTTTGAAAAAAGTTATAATATTTTAAATAAAAAAGCCGCTCAGAATGAAAATATTGATTTAGTTCTAGTTCAGACGATAGCCACACTTCTCCTGCAGAATAAGAAAATTTTAGCTTTTTGCGTTTCAGATACCTAAAACAGCTAGAATTATTTACATCGTCTGTCATTTATAGTGACCAGGATATAACAAAAAAAAGAGCATTTTTGTTACTTAAAAAATAAAAATAAATTTTTAAAATAAAGTGAAGAAAACATGCAAAGTTTAACGTTATTCACTTTCTTCGTTTCACTATAAAACATTCCTGAAAAATATATATTTAAATGATCTTGTAATTAAAATATCTCCGTTAATAATTCTTTATACATTCTCTTCCTAACGTGTGTGTGAAGCTATCGTCTCATTTTGCAGAAACTCACAAATTATTGAGAGTTCTGGCTTCTTTCAAAAAACGCGTCAGTACAAACTGAGACGCTATGTTCACGCAGCGTTTCATTTTGTCCTACACAAGTTCCACCACTGTATCTCATCAGATTTTGCAAGATCTATAGTTCTATAACAGTTCTATAAAGAGTTTATCTCATCAGATTTTGCAAGATCTATAGTTCTATAACAGTTCTATAAAGAGTTCTATAAAAGCAAAAAAATTAATTATAAGGTACTAAAAAAAAATTACAATGCAACGAGTATACGGTTGAGACGCCAGTTGAAATCTCGGAGTTCCGGTTTATGTAAAATATTTTTCGAGTAGTTTTGAGCATATTGAAACATTTTCTAAAGAGTTCCGAGCGTTAGAATCTTTGTGTTATATTTAAAAAAAATTAATATTAACTGAAAAGTAATCATGACAGAAGAAGATGAGACGCTGTGCGAAATCTCGGAGTTTTGGCTTATATAACATATTTTTCGCATAGTTCTGAGCATACTAAAGCATTTTCTAAAGAGTTCCCGCCACTAGCTACGTTGTACATATATGTTCATTAACTTTAACAAACACTATAGCTACGTTGTATAATTTTTAAATAAATTAATACCGCTCAAAAATCAGGAATTTATCGAAAATAAGGTGAGAAGCTGGTCGTATTTCGGCAGTTCTGTGAGTTCTGCTATAATTCTCGTGTAGTTCTGAACGTGTTCTAACGTTGTCCCATTTTATTCTGGCAATAAGCATTATTTATTCATTTTTTAAATCATTCTTATCGCTCGAGAAAGACCCTATTCTCGATAAATTTCTGACTTTCGTGCGTTATTAATTTATTTAAAAATTATACAACATTGCCAATGCCCGGAACTCTTTAGAAATTGTCTTAGTATGCTTAGAACTGTACGAAAAATATTTTATATAAGCCAGAACTCCGTTTTCTACAGCGTCTCACCCACATACCCGTAAATGCGTCTTTCTTGGTCGATAAAAATTATTTAAAATATGAATAAATAATGCTTATCGTCAGTACTCTTTAGAAATAAACGTTAGAACACGTTCAGAACTATACGAGAATTATAATAGAACTCACTGTTACCCATGTGTATTGTTTATTTAAGAAAGTGTTTTTATTTTTATCCAATTATCCTTCTGTTGTTGCTCGTAATTTGGCCGCTTGAACATGCATAGGTAAAATAAATTTAATAAGAGTGCAAGAAACATTATAAACTACCATTTTTTTCTCAATATAGTTAATAATATAATTATTGGTATGCATTTAAATATTATATTTAAAATTTATTATGCAAAGTAAAGGTTTTTAATGTAAGACTTTTTTAGATAGAAAAGCATAGAACGGTGATTTCTATACATTACATTTACGAATTTTAGTTTTTATGTTTACAAATATTTATTTAATTAATTATATTTGCAATCTTTATATATTTATAAATTTCAAATATATATACATATATATATATATTATATTTATTTATTTAATTATAAATATAAAAATTAAAATTTGTATACAAGCAAATGTAACGTATATAGCGAGTATAGCGTATCGTCGATTTGTCAACTCGAGACTCGGCACTCGGCGAGACACGAGACGCGATACCCGAAATGCGTGGCATCGTGGTATAGCCGGCAAGCCGGCCCGTGCAAAGCGGCAATGTCACAGCTCAAGAGAGACAGCAGATCGTATGTCTGCCCTTCTCTCCCCGCTCGAAGCTTGCCGAGGGCCTAGCGTACACGGACAGAGGAAAGGCTTGCGCGACCAGCATATCCCCTCCATCTGAGTAGTTCGGACACGAACCATAGCATGGATACGATGTATCGTTACCCGAGTCCTCTCTGATCGTTACCGAGCGTAACGCCGTAGTTGACGTCCACTTTCTCAGAGGGCAGATTAGGACAGACGTCCCCCGAAGCCGGATGGCCGCTCTCAGGTTTCTCTCTGTTGGTACATATGGCATAGGTACATTTACTGCTATGCATATTTGGACGAACATTCAATACATCGGTCTGCCTAAAAACGAGTCTCGACTAAATATATATATATATATTAGGGTGTGTCATTTTGGAGCAACTTTTTTTTCATGTCACGAATAGCATATATACTTGCAGGAAGGTAAAATAAGATACCTGTTAAAATTTTAGCCTTTAATATTAGTATTAACAGGTCGCTCATCGCAATTTTTTATTTTTTATTTAGTAAGATAGAAAAAAATTTATAACTATCTAACAAACAGTAATGCTAAGACTCCATAGACGCGGAAACGCCGTGCGGCAGAGTGCATTGACCAATCACAAATTTTGATTTTGCTGCAGGCGATTTGCGGCAGCCTTCTGATTGGTCAATGCACTCTACCGCACGGCGTTTCCGCGTCTATGGAGTCTTAGCATAATACAGCATTGCGCCACATAAATTTTCTGTAGTAAATTTACCGCTCTACAAAAAAGACCTCTTATTATTTTTTCATAAATTCAACCGTTCAAAAGATATTCAAAGTTAAAGTTTGATAAATTTTATAAAACTTGTTTTTGCTTCTTATGAATGTTATATCATATCGACTATCAAAAATTATGAAATATTTTTGTAGAAAATTTAACGATCTACAAAAAGGTCTCTTATGTTTTTTTCATAAATATATAATAGGGTCATTTTGGAGCAACTAATATATATATATATATATATATATATACATATATATATATATATGTGTGTGTGTGTGTGTGTGTGTGTGTTTAATTTTACAAAATTTCTCTCAGTGCTTCTTACATATGGCACAGGTACATTAACTGCTCTGTGTATTTGGAGGTTCATTCAACACATTAGTCTGCCTAAAAACGAGTCTCAACTAAATCCTTCAGTGTATATTGCGACAGAGTACTTTATTGATCAAGAAAAATATTTCTACTTAATCATGTTGCATGTACTAGCAGCTATTTACATAGGGGCTGCCTCAATGATGGCGACAGGAACTATATTCATTGCATATTTTCAACATATCTGCGGAATGTTTGGTATCGCCAGGTGAGTAAATGAATTCTATAATATAATCGTAAACAATATTTGTTTGTTATTAAAGCAAAATAAAATTAATTAAAGGAATAAAATTATTTTTTTTACAGTTACCGAATCGAACAGGCAATCAATATTTTACAAAAAGATATCCTAAAGAGTGAGAACATGGTTTATAAGGAGATTACTTATGCCGTAGATATTCATCGCAAAGCTATGGAGTTGGTATATATTTAATAAAGAGCATTAAATACTCGTATAATTACACGAATTTTCTTGTACTTGAAGGCTCACGGACTTTTTAATATCAAATTTTGAGAGATCATTCTTCTTCTTGATAGTAATCGGCGTGACTTGTGCTAGCATTAATCTTTTTCAGGTAATATTCTTTATATTTAATCGTAATTTCATTATATTAGAATTTTATGATATAGTCAAGAAAATAAAAAGAAGTAGCTAAACACTTTTCTATCTATAATATATTTATTGAAAACGATAATTCATGAAAATAATGGTTACCTAATTTTTAAGATATACTGTACAGTAATTGCTAATTACATGTACAAGCTAAGTAAATAAATTAGCAATAACTAAATAAAAACTCAATATTAAAACTTTTAATTCTCAATTATTCTCAATAATTCAATGATCCGATGATATATCATAATCTATTGAAATTTTATCTTGCAATATATATAGAACACAATATGATTTGATCGTGCGTAAGAAGTCGATAGCAAATGCTTAACGGACGTATTACATTTTTTAGCTTGCGTCATACAGTGATGGAATTGAAAAACTTGTTGTACCTATTTTAAAGCTAACCTTCTTGTACGTGTTCTTGTTCTTAGCCAACTATGTAGCGCAAGAAGCTACGATTCACAACGAATGTGTATTTGCCACAGTGTAAGAAATATTTCCATCATTTTGTCATACAAGGGTACTCGTTTTGCAATAGAAATCTAATTATAAAAAAATATTAGAGCAAAATTACTAATATGATAAAATACGATTCGTGGAACAATAGTATATTGTACCAACTAGCGGGAAAAGTGGTCGATTCTGAATGAGTGTGAAGTGTGAAGACCATCACACTCATTTGGACTCGACCACTCTTCCCACGAGTTGTTCATACTATTTTTCCTAATAAGATCGTGAAACAGGCCGCTTTTCGCGCTTGTTTTACAATTTTATTTCTCTACTAGTTGAGAAATGGCTCCATTTTTCAACGCTTACGTCATCATTGCGAAATGGATCGTTTTGCTCACTCAAAACAAGCGCGAAAAGCGGCCCATTTCACGCTCGCGTTAGGAAAATATTATTACCAATACTTATTATTACCAATTATTTTTGTCTTATTAAAACTAGCAATTGTTATTATTCTGTAGATACAACGTTCAGTGGTACACGGCTCCGTTACATATACAGAAAATAATATTGTTTCTACTGCAAAGAGGCACTAAACCTTTTCATATAAATCTCGGTGGAATATTTGTGGCGTCTTTAGAAAGTGCGGCTACGGTAAGAAACATGTATCATATGTTGTAGTTTATAGTAAGTTCTTCTATTATCTCTGAGAATATTGTTTAATCGATAATAACATTAACAATTATTTTAAAATCTTCTATTGCTATTTTAATTGAATCACGCTTTACATCACATATATCATACAAAAACGTAGGTTTCACTATAATAATTATTATTTACATAATGTTAACTAACAGCTCAGTACGGCTAGAAAATAGAATAAAAGATAAAAAAAATTATTATTGTATTTTTTGTTTTATTATAGTCAATATTATTACGAAATTAATATTTAACTTTTACTTCAAAATGTCATAGTTGCTGGATTATCGAAAAAAATCGATTATCGTATTGTTCCCAAATGTTTGGTTAAAGAAAGTTCTATTATATTTTTAGTATTACTTATTACAAAATAAAGCAAAAGATTTATTTTATTACAGGTGTTTAGTGCTACGATATCCTATTTTACTGTTCTTTATTCTACGAAGGAGAACTAAGAGTATAAATTAATAACGATAAAATAAAATTAGTTTTAATTTGGAAGCGAGAGAATGAAAAGGGGACGGTGAAGTTGATTGAAATAAATATTGGGACCATTTCGATCTCGCATTTTAGGTAATATATATGTGTTAAAGTATTAGTAATTCTGCGAAGGTAGAATATTATTATTTAAGTGAGAAATCGGGATTCTACATTGTAAAAATTGCAAAATAATGTTGAAAACGTTGCGTACGATAAAAAATTTTTATTATTCAGATTTTATGTAATTATAAAAAGTTTCCTCTTTGTGCAATAAAATTTTGAATGGTTCCATTATTAAATAATATCTATGTAAAAAAAATTTTCTTTACGATTGCTTTCTTATAGCGCAATTAACTGATTTAATTTATTTAATTTTTAATGATATTTAGTAGTATATATTTCCGATATGTCATTATCTCAAGTAAAGGAGACCGAGGCTATATGACTCTGGGGGTATATATGTTGCTTATGTGCTATTTTTTAGTATTTATTTTGAGAGGAACAGTGGAGAAATAGTTTTTCTAGATTAAAAAAAAATTACGCGAGATTCCGTCCATTGTTCCTCTCAATATAAATACTAAAAAATAGCACATGAGCAACATATTCTTGGAGCCATATAGCTCCGGTCTTCTGTATGGAGAGAGTCCAACAAAATAACCCGCATTTGCACGACAAATAACTATTGAGAACAATGGATTATTGAATGAAAACAATATTGATTATTTACGTATAACAGAAACTTCTATCTGTGGCACTATATCTTTATATGTAAATAATATTACAGAAATGTAATATATATTAGAGGTTATCCCTCAAACAAAGGTATATAAATTTCGCTCTTAAAACCTTTTAGATTAAAGATACGCATACGAATAAGAGTACGCACTCAATAAACTTTTACCTGTAACAAACATTTATTTAAAAAAAGACATAATTCTTTTAAACAGAATATATCACTTTTATTTCGCCAGTCAAATAATAAACAACAATATAGAAGTATTAATCGACTCTACTGGTCATGTAATCTTTGATACTTATATATAAACATCTCATTCAAATAATTAAATTTATTGCAAAAGATATTTTATTCGGTAACTTATTTTTAAAGGTGGAAATGACGTATAATTTCTTACTTCTTCGATGATGTTTTTTAGTTTCTAATATTTATTTTGTTAGCCGACTTATATCAGAAACAGTATCATCAACAAAAAGGTTTATATTTTTATTATCATTAGAATCACTTGATTCTTTCTATCAGTTTCGGATTAAGTAACGGGTTTCAAATTTACATGCGAATTAGGGCATGTATTTTGCGACCTGAAATCGTGCTTTTCAGCACGATCAATCATTTCTGTCTTAATACTTATTTTTAATGACACGAAGCTATTGAGTGATGAAATAGCCAGGTACTTTTGCGTTTTTTGGACTAAAAATGTTTTATGTTTTAGTTGCACCAGGAGCCTAAAACCCCATAAGAACTCATCGATCGATGAATAGATTATGTTACTATTTTTAGACAAATTGACATAATGGAGAAGAATGGGGAAGACGGGAGTGTTAGAGTTGTATGTTTGAGCTTCCGTCAAGCATTTATCTCTTTTACTAGTTTTATGAGAACACACCATAATGTATAATTTCGCTTGTAAAACCCGCGACACGAGAATAAAAGTGCTCCTGCCGGACGACGCGTGATAGGCGCGACCCCAGCGCGGGCGATCGTTTTTTTAAGAGTGACGACGCCGATGTTGTCGAGTCGAGTCGAGTGTAAACTGTCTCTGAGTAAAGACGTACATATAAAAGTATCGAGTTATCCTTGCAATCCCAAACAGGGAGAACAAAAGTTTAACACCCTAATTATAATGACAAAGGTACCTTCACATGGTTTGTATAAAATCGGAAATAATGCAGAAATAATTTATATTTGTGTTTATTTATGTCCATATTTCATTTCTATTCTATTACAAAATGTAGTACAATGTTTAGGATGATTATGAAGAAACTTGGATAGAGTAATAGCACGTTAACTTGGTTATGGGATGCTTATCACACACTCCCTTATTGTTGCAAGTGCAATGCTTTCTTGTTTTCTTTTGCTTTCCATTCAAATCGCGGCAAACATAATAGCTGTCGACAACTACATGTCTAGCAAGCTGATTCTGTAACTCTTAACGACAGTTTCGTTATCGTTATATTGTTGTTGCGCAAATATTATATATGGTAAAAAAGCAGCGCAAAAACAATATAATGATAACAAACCTGTCGTTAAGAGTTACAAAATCGAACCGCAGTTGAGTCACGTCTTTGGGCAGTAGAAGAACTTGTATATGCTATGGTAAGGTATGTATTTCACGTCCAGGAATGTTTTCTGTAGTGAAAAGTATAAATGATTTTCCTACTATAGTGAGATATCGGGCGCGTGCTTCAATGTTTGTGCGTGTGTGTGTCACAGCCGAAATAAGCAGAGAAGTAGTAGGCACTTTGAGTAGATTTTTTAACAAGTTTCCTGCGTAGAGCTGACTTTTCTTTATATACGGTGGCATCAAACTGATTTTGAATCCGTTGCAAAATTAATGTGATGAGTTTTTTTTGTCCCCTCAATTCTTTAATCTTTTTTTTTATTTGGGGTTTTTACTTTATCCTTGGCAGCGTTTGAAATAAAAAATACTCAATAATTTAAGACAAACTCATATATTTAACTTGACGTGTATTTTTAAAATAAAAATTTCGTGACGATTCTTGAATTGCAGGATCAAGTAGTTGCTCGTAGGTCACTTTTTTACAGTAGGACAGACCGGGGCTAAAATGTCTACGGGGTAAATACGTCTAATCAAATATCTAGGAATAATCTATATATTGTGCGAACTCGCTATTAACATTGTAAACGCTGCTTATAGTACCAATGTGACCAACGGATTTCAGCAGGTTACCTGCCGTGTTATGATTTTTACGAGAGCAAACGTGTTTTCGGAAGGTGAAAGTTACATTTTCTGCGCGTGGAAATTTTGTAATATCTGCAATAATATTTGGTCTCCAAATCTTGAGGTATACGTGATTATAAAGAGTAATGCATGCTGAACACGAATTCAGTGTAGTTTTTTCATTATTGTTGATGTCTAATATTTCGTGGGCGATCAAACCTGAAACTTGTGTTTGGGGCTAATCAGTAAGCAGTCCGGGTGCATTTCCAAGGCATTTTCGAGCTCACTGCATATGGAATATAGATGAGACAGAAATTACAACCGTTTAGACCGAATAGAGTCATCGGACGTCGAGGAGTGAAACAAGTCGGGCGAGTGACTTCTGCGGAATGAGGAACCCTCGTAACTATTTTTTAATAATGTTTTGCATAAAAATGTTACATAAATTTTTATATTTTTTTCTTAAAAAACAATTATTAAAATGTATCCTATCATTATTCAGGATTAGATGTACGTACATGTATTGAAAATGCAGTGTGACGGTTAAACCCCGGCATTTTTGAGATTTCAATTTTTCCGCCGTTGTCGTTTTTGTTCTATACCGGTTAAACAAAGCGACGTAGACAAAAATTTCCTATATAAATTTTGTAGCTAAAGGTTCACTCTTTACAGTGGTTTCCCACATTTAACTAAAATTATTTATTTTGTTGTTAAAAATCGGCTCCGAAAAAAAACGGACTGTTTAGCCCCGTCTCCCCTAACGAGTGAGAGCCCGAATATTTATTCCAAGTCTAACGCTGTTTTTACGAAAAGATTCTCGCTCAATTTTCATTCTTTTAATCTAAATATAATTTTATTGGATATGTTATCCGTCTTAAGGAAAGTCTTTCTTTTGTGGTTACGCACCATTATCTATTTATAAAAAAACAATTCGTCATTGAAGTGTGGACACATTGCCCCATCAAAAATAGGACGGATATAGCCCCGACCACATTTTTTAGTCTTTAACATGTTGCCAATTTTAGATAATGCGGAATTAAGATTTGACGCTTTTCACACCTGATAACTGTATATTAATTGATAATATTATGAATTGTTTACTTTAATTTGAGTTAAACTATTGTCGCACAGCAAATTTTTTGACCGTCGAAAAATGTGAATAATTATTTTCGCTTTTCTTTTAACATATATAGCGTCTGCGAGAGGCATTGCAAGAAAACAAACAACATTTAAATATCTTACGTAGGGCATTTTTCAACTATATACTTGTTACAATGGTAGAGACATCTGTCTCTTAAAACTTGAGATAGCAGTACTGTGGACACATAGCCCTCGTAGACAGATAGCCCCGGTCTCCCCTAATATTTTACAAAAAAAAATTAAATTTTATTCTGTTATTTGTACTACAGTTTTTCTTTTCCCAATTATTAATAATATATATGTTTTGACACAATAATTTATACTAAAATTTTATAAATTTTCTTTGAATTGCTCTCCATTCCTTTCTTCGATTATTGAATTGTTCTACTGTTACAATCTACTGTTATATTTCGTAAATAAATACAATTCAAGGAAAGTACAATTTCGACTAATATTGTAAATAAAAAGACTAATATGTACATATTTTTATAGAATTATAAAATTCTTTTAATAGATACGATGATATTCAAGATTAAACCATTTTGCGAGATGGCATTCCCGTTACCCATTCCATTTATGGATGGAAAAAGCCCATAAAAGGAATGGGTAACGGGAATGCCATGTCCAACTGACAACGATTACAAGATACCGACTACGGATATAACTACGGATACCGACATAAATTAAAGAAACCGAAACTTTCTAATAAGTCGACACAGTTACATATGATACTGTGCCGACTTATTAGAGAATTGCGGTTCCTTTAAGTACACGAGGGACATACTTCAAGAACTGAACAAGAAGATAAGGATTGAAATTAAACTCGTTCAGCATCTAATTCAGCATCAATTCACGGCACCTCATTCTCATACTTGTTCAGGATCATCTTCACTAAGCGTGGGTTAATTGCCTCCTAAACATTCAGAGGTGCCACGTTACGGGCTCCAAAGCTGAAAATAAAAATTAAGATTGTTTATTTCTTATTGTAAAACGTCGAATATTTCGTGCAAAAAATAAAATGAATAATTTTCATTTAGAAAATTGTTCAGACAATCGTATATTTCGTTTTTACAAGATACATTATAACACAGAATAGATTGTTATATGTAAAGTTAAAATATTTATTTCTTATTGAGATTTAATCTTGTATATTTTCAGTTTGTTTGTTAATTTTCTCTTTACATAATTATACATATTGTACAATATAACATTACTAATTGCAAGTGTATTAAGTAATTATAAGTCACTTATTTTATTTGTAAGTCTTATTTATCGCTATATGTACCTCTTTATCGTAACTTTTTAGCGACCGCATCAATAGTATAATAAAATTTCTTATTTAATATTTTTGCAATAAATTTTATTTTTTTTAAGTATCTATATAAAAAATGAAGTTTTTTTCAGCGTGGCTTTTCTATATAAATAAATTCACCGAGTAGAAGACTTTTAGAAAGTATTTATTAGCAATTTTATATATTGACAATTTAATAGCATAACGAATGATCCTTTATAATGAAATTTTACGGCTGTTTTGTACATGTCATGCAATTATAGGGGAGACCGGGGCTAACTCAACACTATTTTTTTCAAAGGCAATTTTTAATATTTAATTAAAATTTTTAGGCAAATTCAATGGTATATATTTAAAGAGTGTTCCTTCAGGTACAAAATTGATTCAGAAAGTTTTGCTGTACGTCGCTTTGTTTTGCCGCCAGGAAAGGAAAAGTGACGCGAAGACAAATTTTCAAATTGAAAAATGCCGGAGTAAACTCGACACTTTGTCTGATCGACAGAATTTGATCTAGAACTTATTTTTTATTGTCTGAAACTAAATATACATTTGTTTATTGTGTATTTAGAAAGTACAAAAATTTGGAATTAAGTAAAACAATCATTGGAAATAACGAGAACAAAAATTATTGAACATTCAATTTTTTTCATCTAAACTCATGTCTGAAAAACAATTTATGCAAGTAAATTCGCGATTACACGTGCGCACACATTTGTCATGGACCATATAACTGCATCACAAGCATCGTTTATTATTGGGAGCCAATAAAACAGCGTGTCGACTTTGCCCCGAACGTGGTTTTTAACTTTTGTTACTCCAAAAATATAAAAATTTTGAAAATATGCAAAAACTCTATTATTGGATTCGTATAAAGCATCGAATTTCTTATCAAAATCACTTACCGGTAGATTCGCAAGAGTAAAGCTCGATGAAAGAGTAGACATTTTCGAGAGATCAGAAAAATTACTTTTTACTATCAAAAACGCTTATGTCGCGTTAAAAATTACAATATAACTCAGAATGTTACCAAATTTTGTTGATAATACTGGCACATAAAGACACATTTACCGTAGGAAAGGCAAGTTTCTACAATAGATTTAAATTGGCAAAAAGCCTAGTGTCAAGTTTTTTTTTTTTTTTTTTTTGTTTCCGTAGGAAGAGGTAAAATGCCTCGCGCATTCCTGACCCCGGCCGTCAGGATATGTGGGACTTGCACCCACTAAACATCCTCTCCCTTAAACAAAGCACTCGGGACACAAGTCACGTGACATGGAACACCGGAGGTACACTTCACATCACGCAACAGTCTTCACGCAGAGGCGACAATAAAACGTAAACCAGACGAAGACCAACGAAAGGTTACCGGTACCGGACTCGCGAACCCCGGGGGAAGGGCTCTCTAGTCGAATGACATTGGCACGAGTGCCGTCATTCGGCCACCTCAGAGAAACCGCATGATAGTGGCTGCGGGTAGCCATACCATTGTGGGATCTCTTCATCGGTTACGAGATCATTCCCCCAGAGAAGAACGAAATCCAGGATCGGGATCGTTCACCAGGTGGACGAAGGATAAAACTAACAGAAATTCCTCATCCGGATGAGGAACTTCACATTACAAAACCAATACACGAATCGAAGCCGATCCGTCCGCGCAAAAGAGTCACGACCCACCACCAATAGTACGAATCGAAGATCGATCCGTCCGCGCAAAAGGATTCAGTCACAAGAACCCATCACCAATAGCAGGAGGCACCAGTACACCATCCCTGTCCGAGCCAAACCATCGCAGTGCTCGGCAACAGCAAAATCGCTCACCCTCCCCGATTCCAAAAGAAACCGGGTAAAGGGAGCGAAGAAAAACACAACGAGGAGTCACCGTCCCAGATCGAGAGATCCCCCCCAGGGGACGACCAACCGCGCCCCGACACCACAAAAGGCTCGTGGAGCTCATTGACGAGCAATGAGTCCAGAGCCCAAACAGCGGCAGGTGACGGACCCACGGCCGGCCGACCCCAAGGGAGGACCCACGACCAGAAGAGGGGCGGGTTCCTCGACACAAGAGAGAATGTTCGCGGGGAAACGCAGAGTCCCAGGCATCCCAGAGGCAGCGAGCGCCGGCCGCCCCAAGGCCGAACTCCCCCCCCCCCCCCCCCCCCCCCCGGCCGCCGCCCCCGGGCGACCCCCCCCCCCCCCGGGGGGAAGCACCCCAAAAAAAACCCCGCCCCCCCCCCCCCCCCCAAAAAAAAAAAAAAAAAAAAAAACGCCCGGGAGAGCCTACGGAAGACCCACGCCGCACGATATATAAAAGGCATTTACAGAGCGCAAAAGAACGAATTACAATAATAAATCTCGCAAGGGAAATACAAATTTAAGTCGGAGGGTCTGGGTCGTCGTCCTCCGCCGCAAGATCCTGATGAAGTCGCTGTTGCTCCCTAAGTCTCTCGTCCTCTTCCTTGCGGCTCATGACCCTCTCCGCAAAGGTCGAAAAGGCCTTCCAGGACTCGCGCGAGTCACATATCTCTCTAATGACGGCTGCCAGGGACAAATCCTGACCGAGGGCAACCGTCAACTCGCCACGCTCTAGACCCCATCTGTCGCAATCCGACAGGGTATGCTCCGAAGTATCAGGCACATTGCTGTCGCAGTAGCGGCAGATCGGGGACTCCTCCTTCCCGATCCTGTGAAGGAAGGCCCCGAAGCAGCCGTGCCCCGTCAACAGTTGAAGTGTCAAGTTTGCCCCGATGTCGAGTTAGCCCCGGTCTCTCCTATATACATTATACATTTATATCTATATTTATATATTCTAAAAGACATAACGCATAGAAAATTGTACTTATATTACAGATTATTACTTGTAACTAACAAGTGTTTAGCTAAGAAAAATATTCGCGTATATTCATTCCTTCACGTGCACGCATAGAAATAGGATATCTCGCATCGTTTTTCCTATTTCGCAAATCTAATAAATTCACTTTATTTCTCTGTCTCTTTCTCTCTCTCTCTCTCTCTCTCTCTCTCTCTCTTTCATCTTGTCTTTATTCTTAAATTTACCGAATCTCTCATGAGATGACTTCTCCGACACTTTCTCAATTTACATCATTTCAAAAGGCATTATTTAGCCTCCAAGGTCCATCGTCTAAGGACTAAGACGATTTGACACGTCCTACTGGTCAAGTTCGCAATCCTCGGATTCGTTGGCTCAGGAGGACCGTCGCTGTCCCCGGGACAGCGTCCTGATTCTGACACGCCGTCATCGAGAACCTCTGTCACCTCGTGAAACAGACAGATAATGGGTATTGGGTAAGGGCGAATCGAGAAAACAGTATATTTCGTAATAAATCGGTGAACAAATATTTCCTAAGAAAGAATTAACCAGGAGATTGAAATTAAAATTAATTCACAAACTTTTTGCAAAATTATTTGATCGCCGACCTCGGAAACACTCACCAGAACTTCCTCGAATCGGTCGTAATTCTCCTGCCTGGAGTTCAAGAGGCTCTCGCCTACCGAGTCGGCGCCCGATTGGCAAGGATCTCGTCGCCCTAGCGCGCTCAATGCAATATGTAGCAAGGACAGTACCGCCAAGAGATCGGCTGCAAGCACATATATATCTGTCAGGAGCTCACGGAAATAGAGTTGAAGGAGCCGGCATCCTTACCTGCGACGTAGGACAGCCAAAGTCGCCAAAGTTTATTGGGTCGCCACGCTAGAATGCAGGACAATGATAGGTAAAACAACGCCTTTCGGCAGACCCGCGTGGCCGCCAAAACGATAGACCAAGTAACGCGAGCAGAGGAAATCCTCGTTCCGCTCGTTCATCAGAAAAACGTCAACATACGTTATATCGTTTTCTCAGATTTTCTCAAAAAGAATCCGCGAGATTAAAGGAATTATTTTCTGGAATTACATTTTAAATAAAAAATTTAAATATTAAATTAAACAATTTGATATATCTAAAACCCCTTTTTATATCCCCTTTATTCCACTATTTTTTATTTTAAGATTATTTTAATTGGCACTATTTATTTTAATTGCATGTTGAGAAAAGAATCAATTTAATATTATATATCCTTGCTATTTTTCTTGCCAATGTGTATTTTACACATTATATAATTACGGTTCTTCAGACCGAGCGAGATCCTCAGACAGTTGGTGCAACATTGTAAAAGTATTTACGTGATTGAGTTATCTGACGTTCACGGAACTAGAAGATTTACATGATTTACATTCGATAAACAGAAACTTTTGCGAGAACGACGTCTTCCGCTGAATGCCGTAAGCGAGCAATCCAGCCTTTATTATGATCCCATCAATTCCATTTAAATTTCCTTCTTAAAGAAGCGGAGCGAAAAGACGATTTTTCCATCGATACACACACACAACTTTCAAATACTCTTACCGAGTATTCTCTTTACTGAGATTAACAAACTGAATTCCGAACGGGCAAAAAAGATCAAAATAAAAGTCCGACTTGTCGTATCCCGCACATTCGGTATACATGTATTTAAAAAAGAAAGTGAAATCTTTAAATTGCGCTAATTGCAAAGAGAATATATATATTGCTATAAAAAATAATTGAAAAAGAATTTCAGAGGTAACAGTACAAAATAAAAATATTTAATTAAAATAAATAAATATATTTAATTAAAATAAATAAATTCTTTTTGTAAAAAAACTTGGCGCTGCTAGATTTTGAAATTTTAACATTAAAATTTAAACATTAGTACTAAAATTTTTTATTAAAAATAATGGAATTTTTCACAGAGGGTGTCGCAGCGTCCTATCGGGTCGTTGACCTACATCTGGAAAACTGCACAGTGATTCGCAGTGCCTTGGAGTGTTGGCCTTGCGAGAGAGTATATGTACCGCGTTTTTTCGAACTCTACTCTTTTATCTAAAAAAAAAAAAAAAAAAAAATGAATTTTTTAGAGCTTTTGGACGTAACACTCTAACTAGTGCCAGGCTTAATTTGATGTCAGCTAACATAAGAAGTTTGAATTACAGTTGCAAGAATGCACAGAAAAGAAGAATATTCTTGATTTGAAAACATCTTTAGTTTCAAATCAAGAATATTCTTCTTTTCTGTGCATTCTTGCAACTGTGGTTCAAACTGCGGTTCCACTTCGTGGAAATCTTGAAATGAGATTATTATCATTAAACGAAGAAAACTTGCTTGAATGAAGTATTTTATAAACATCTTGAGTACTCGCAACTCGTGCGTTCGCGTAAAAGAGTCACGGTCGGTCTCGCTCCGCGTATACTTGGCACGAGACACTACCGTGTCTCTTGATAGTTCAACTAAAAAAAAAGTTAAAATAAAAAGTTGAAACTTTTATAAAAAGATCATAGATTGTTGCGTATATACGAGTATATAAGTTCTGATTTGACACTTCTTTCTTTTTTTGTGTACTTATTCCATTTTCCATCAATTGTTTGCTTTCGACGGTTTTTCTTATTCCTATTCTTGTAAACTAGCTCAACACTTATCGCATATATTTTGAAATGTGAAATGTGAATGAATTGGTACCGGCGCTTTACACGTAGATTAAATTTATAAATTCAAGGTAAGTATATCATAGTATAACTGCTATAACATCACAGAATATATCGATGTTCACCGCAATACCTAACTTTCACGCAGAATGATTCCCTTACTTCTTGTTCGATTTCGATTTGCAACGCGAGTAGATCGCGTACGCGTCCATTCGCATAGAGAACAATAGATGATAAATAAGATAGGATGCGTTAAGTGTGCCAGGTATATTGTCAGGAAAGGCAAAGAGAGGGGAAGTAAAGGATGTGAGGAGAGGGAGAGAACAGCTTCAGACTCATCCTCGAGTTACTTTCACTTGAACTTCTTGTAACGCCGTGTAGTGATCTTCTAGACGATGGGAACGGAGCTCCTGTTGCTTTCCGCGTAATTTCGATCTCACGTAATCCTTTAGTATATTCTTAGATTTTTGTTAAAAAAAAAAAATGGCGTTACACTGGATTCTACAGTTATATCTTCTACGATGCACGCTATTCGTCGTTATTGCCCGCGCCGAAGAAGTTTTCGTAAGTAACTCCAAACGTTAACGCATTATGTTAACGATCGGATTAGCTGTGTATAAGTATTGATGACGTAAAAAACGAGAAATTGCTTATACTTATACAAGTTTACAGATGCGTTAAGTTGTCTCGATTTTGCACAAACGCGAATAAACGTCTTCGAGTTGTACGATTTCAATGCATGTTCGCCCACGCAGAATACCACTCCGCCAACCGTCAGAACGAGATTCTCCTGTTTCAACCGGCCTATGGGATTCTACGCTGACGTCGAGGCGAACTGCAAGATATATCACACGTGCGACGATCACGGGAACAAATTCACTTACCGATGCCCCGAGGAAACGGCTTTTCGTCAAGACGCCTTGACATGCGACCACGCTCATCTGGTCGATTGCCAAGCGACCGTTCACCCGTCGACTCAATTTCCAAACGAGAACGTCGACGAGGAAATTGTGCGCGTAGCAGCCTCGACGAGATCCCCGGTGGAATCGATCAACTCGCTCGACGATGATCGATTGTCGTTTTCGCGTTCCTTCCAAGTGATTCAACGGCCTGACAAATCCATGCCTAACAAGTTCCAATCCGGGTTCGTCTTCCGCGCGAGTCTATTCTTAAGGAATCAGGACCGGAATCAAGCTAGGCAAATTACCGACACCTGTACGACATGCGACACCGATTCGAGGAACCGCATTTCCACCGCTCGGCCGCCTACCAAACAGATTGGTGCTTGGAATCCGCATAACGAACCCAAATCAACTACGCAGTCATTGTCTTTATCACTGTCGGAGACTCGCGACAAAAATACCGTATATTTCAATCGTCCATACGAGCCGCTCTCGAATTCTTCGCCTACGACAGCGACAACGTCGGAGGATAATCAGCGTCCACCTTTTCCGCGCGAGAAGTTCCCCTTGTCGAGTTACAACAGTGATTTCCATCCATATTCGGAGACTTTACGATCGATTCAAGCCAGCGCTCATACGACTTACGTAAAATCCACCACGGAGATTCCCGTGCATGCTTTGACGATGTCCTTGAAGCCGCTGGTACCGAACGAGCTGGAATACGATCCTTACTATCCCAAACAAGCGACGTCCACCGAGGCATATTACACACCCAGCAATCGCAACAGAGTCGACACGAACGTTCGGTTTTCCAGCTCCAGCCAAGCGCCGCTGATAGTCGCGCGTCCCAATCTTCCCTTCGAGATCCCGTCTGTGCTGCCTGATTTGAACACGTTGGAGGATTTAGTCGACCGCCGGAAGTTCTTCTATATTCCGCGCGCAAATGTGAAATCGATATAACGCGCCATTAACTGTTTAATCGCGTTTACTTGCGACGTTACGTGCGAAAGAATTTTTAAGTATTCTTCGTTTTGCAATGTTGCAAAATAAACTATACATTGTATGTTCGTTGTATGTCCATACTGGCGTGTATATTATTTGGGATTATATTAAAAATGTTTTAATAAACATTGAATACCACGGAACTCGGTGGCTTCGAAGGAGCTTGCGCTCTTGGAGCGGAGGATACACGGGTCGGTATTATACTGAAAAAAATATAGTAACGTTGATTTTAACTTTATATGAAAAGCTTAATGATAGTGCAATTATATGTGGCGTCGCGTCTCTAAAATACTTGTCTCTTGGATTCCAGTGTTCTAATAGCGGCGCTAATAGTCTTGCGGCAATCTGCTGAATATTAATCGAACCTCGAAATATCCCGGTTAATGTGGCTATTATTCCATGTTCATTGTGATATTTTGCTTGTAAGTGTTTGATCGTTGTCGTGAGTCCTGAAAATAACTATCCGTAATACAAATTCCGCGGTATGCCGAATTAAAAGATATAGAAAATCTATGCTCTCGATTTCTCACCAAAATATGTGTCTCTGATTGGTAGTAATTGCTGCACACTCCTTATGTCTTCCGATAAACAGCGACACTTCTCCGCGAGGCATCGAATGTATTCGTTTTCTTGTTTAAAAAATTGAATATTTTTATGCAACTCCTCAATTTGCATTTGTAGCCGCAGTTGCACAACATCCTCTACCCAACGCTTAATTTTTATATCTTTTTCCAATTTCTGCGTCTTGGTTTTCTTGCCCTTTACTATGTCATCATGCGTCTTTGTATGCATCATCTTTTTTGAATCCAAATGAAGACCTAATTCTTTAAGTTTACTGAAAAATACACGGAATATATGTTATTTTACAATCGTTTTGGAAGAGATATTTTGAAGTAAAATAATAATTGTGTAATTTATATGATATATTTAAATTTTTATGTGGAGTTCTGCAGTATAAATAGCTTGAGTAATGGGTTATATATCTAAAAATTTAGAATTCAACTATTGACAGAGATGTATGATAAGATTAAAATAAATTGAGTAAGAGAATGCTCATTATTAGTACTATTCTAAAAAGTACAAACAACTGTATTATATTACTCCTCGATAAAAAAAATTTATAGGAATCGAAAATTCAGTGATTTACGTGGTATTTGTTGGAATAAAATAAAAACATTTATGTAACATTTATTAACAGTTAAAGCTAATAGGATTGAAAGGACAAAAATCATACTTTAAATATTATACAAGAATTATATTTATATTGTACGTTTTAATGAGTTTATCTTTCAATATAGGCATTGAATTGATGGAAACTTCGCTTTCGCTTCCATCTTTCACAAGCAATCCACACGCGCACGGACAGAGCTGAAAATAATATCGTAAAATTAATTATATAGACTCTCATTCTAATGTTTATTATGTTATAATTAAGTTGAGTACATGATTATATATACAAGTTATATGTAATACACAACTTTTTAAATTAATTGCTCTTCTTTTCAACAGCGGATTTTTTTATTATCTTCAAGTAAATTTTTCCTTTACGAAGATTTTAAAGCGTCAACTTATTGAACTGCGATTAAAAATAAAAAACTGTTTATAAAATACGTTTCAACGCTATAAATTATTTAGGAATCTGTTTTTTATATAATTATGTATCAATAGGTTTTATTTTTTAATAAAATCATTCTTAGGTTACTTAATGAAGTTAAAGTAAAGTAAATGAAGAATCAAACTCGTATGTATCAAATACTGTAAAATGATTAAGGACCAATAAACAAGCAAAAAATAGTTGTTAAAAAATTCAAATTGTGTATTAATTTAAATATAAAAATGGGACGTTTTAACTACATCGCGTCTTTATCAGCCAAATAAATTAATTATACCTTTAAAACTAAGACCGAAAAAATTTAATTGAAATTTAATTGGAAATTAAGTGTCTGCTGGGGATTAGCCCGATATGATCAATATTTAACGCAACATGTTACATAATTTAAAAAATATTGATCTACATTACATCTATATTACGATATATAATACATTAAAGAAACTGCCATTATATCTATTTTTTTATTATATTATATTCTGAAAGATTAAATAGAAAGTATTCGTCCCTCTCTTATTAGACCAAAAGTTATTCTTCAATAATTTTTTTCGTATGAATAATAAATTTGACTTACTAGTTCCTGAGTAAGCGTCGATGCATCTTGCATGGAGGAAATTGTAGACGATATATTGACGACACATTGATTTGACGAGTCATCGGTCTTATATCCACGTTTGCTGGCTATTTTACATAAACAACAGTCATTGCTTATACGTGATACCTGTTACCTATTTCGTTTTTTAAATACAGAAGCAATAGCAATTCTTTTAAGAGATAAAAAAATTTTTTTTTACTTACTAACGTATCTCGGCATTTGACTTGCACTGTCATACTTTCGCTGAAACTCATCTTGACGCATTTGATACGTGGTTCCACTGGAAGGCGTTTGTCGTATAAACAGCAATTTCGATTTTAATCCGCTGTCACTCGTGTCAGTCGATTGAGTTTTAGAAGAGACGTTTTCTTGTTCTTTCGCGCGCTTATCAATATTATCATATTCTTTGGGAAGAATATAATCGAATACACTTCCAGGAATAAGTAAATTATCGCTTATTTTACCCTTTTCGGCAGACGAAGGATCTTTATTTGCCATTTTCAAAAATATATTTTCAAAATGTTTTGATAAGATGTCGTAATCGTCATTTCTTTCTTTATCGACGAATTGCCTCGGTTTCTCTGAAGAATCCTTCAGGCGAAGCGTGACGCCACAGAGTGCACAAACCGAGGAGGACGTGGCCGCGATTAATCCAGATCCAGAACTGCGCGGCTAACGGAAAATACTTACTGTTTTACTTTCAATCTCTTCTTATTATTTTTTATTCTTAATAAATTCAAAAATAAAAATTTCACTACTTGTTTACTGCTCTCATATCGCGAATCAGGATAGCGCATCCGAGGATCTGGGTCTTTTCTCCGTTGCTGCTCTACGTCACTCGCGATTAATTGTATCAATCTCGCAGCTTCCTTGATCGCTTGCAATAAATCGTGGAGGGTCGTAATCTATTAGCAATTTGTTATTTCCATCTAATGTAGACTCAAGTGAACTAATTATGGATACGCACGCACACGTGTACATTGAATAAATTGGACAATGTAATGATTTTTTAATGATAAAGTTAATACTTATTTTTCAATAATTATTAACGCTTCTTTCTATCATTTTTTGTATAAAATCTTAACTATGTCCAATGTTATAATAGATTCAATTCTTTTAGTTTATTATTTGTTGTATCAAACAGATTAATAAATAAAATAAATTATAAAATTACATTGCAACAGAAAGTAAAAAATTCTTTGCTTTTACCATATCTGATTTATAAATTCATAATATTTCGAGATATCAACATTGAAGTAGAAAGCTCTGATATTAGATATCCACAAGTGAAAAGGAACGAGCTAAATAAGAGCCAGGCGCGGTAAGCAATGCGCAAATAATTATTCTTGATTAATAAGATTATTCCTGTTAATATCACGCTCTTATTTACCCCGTTCCTCTTCCACTTGTGGTTTTCAAGATATTGTCATCTCTTTAATAGCAATAATTCCTAAACCAATGTTTAATTAACCTCATGTTTTTTTTTAAACATATACATATAGACAAATAAAGCTAAAAAAGTTATTTTGAAATGTCTCAAAGTTTAAAAATTAGAAGTTTTATTATAAGAGAATTTGTTAATATTTAATATTGCACTCTCAAGAGTACAGACATAGAGGAGAATGTTATCTACTTGCTGATCATGATCGCTGTCAAGCACGGGCGAACGGTAAGGCCCTCTTGACTCTCTGCAGAAGCGATATGCAGGACAAAGGGGCATTTCGGGTCTCGAATGTGTAGTGCCTGATGATTCATCGCGACTCATCAGCACAACACCTTGTTTCGATGGAATCGCGACGGCAAGAGGACGAAGTCTTGCGACGACATCTTTCGCATCGCCTATCGTTTCCATCGCGTTTAATTTAAAGAAAACAAACTCGGTTTAATCTGCGGTAATAGCGGTGCGAAAGTAACACGGATGGCAGCTAACGACTCCGATGACTTCCGATAATGTTGAGCCATTTTTTCATTTTATATCGCCATGTCACTTGTCATTTCATCATTTCGTACCGCCATGTCTCATTCGATACTGATTCCGACGCCAACGCGACTTGAAACCTGAAGTTTAAAGATTTTTATCCTCGATGTTAATAAAGGACACATTCACCATGCTAATGTTCGTCTGGCATCGTGACCTAATCTTAGCTTGTCAAAATTTTTCGTGAACAATGGCTGATTTCTCGAAGACGTCGGTAATCGACAAGACAAATACCAGTATAGACAGGTCCGCAAGTGAAGTCAATACTAATAATAAAACGAGTTATTGGAGGCAAATGCTGAAGAGCTACGAGAAGAGGAACGCATCGTTGGAGAGGAGACGTAGCGCACTCGTCGAGAGAGTTCGTTTTATGGAATGTACATTGCCGTCTTTGCTGATGAGCGTCGCTGCATCTACTGCTTACGGCAAACGAGGAGTCCACGATAAACAGGCAAAAAGCCGCGAAAACACGTCCAAATCCACCGCTCAAAAAGCGTAGCTACAGAATGTATTACAAAGTAAGAAAGCACTCTGCAGACGGTCAAATCTACCAAAAACAGATTTTATAAAGTATCTGCTTTAATCTACATCTTTTGTCGGCAGAAATATAACAGCCCTGGTGACAAAATTTCTCATATTTCAGGCCCGTATTCTAAATAAATACCGAAATTTTGTAAGACTCAAGACGTATGAAAAATTCTGAAAAAAATATATATAAAATTTCTCAGATACTTTCAAAAATAATTGGACGAGGATTCTCGGAATATTTCAGTATCTGTATGTATAAAAATTTCTGATTAATTGCACAGATTTTCTTATATTTATTCAAATTTCTACAAAGATATGTTAGCGGAAAAGATCTGAAATATTATTATTATTTTGTCCGAGTTTTTCTGAGAAACGTTTCAATTTATATAAAAAAATCCGAAAAATTTTGATTATTCTGAAAATTTTTATAGAAATTCTCATTATAATAATATGAAAAATTTTTTCATTAGGGAGAACCTGCCAATAAAATATGATGGCAAATTGACTACAAAAACCGAGCAGAATCTGCCATTTTATAATCATTAGAAAGACACATTCTATTTGAATAATATGGAAATAAGGTTCCGTTAACTTATACGTTTTAAAATTTAGCGATTTAATAATAAGAAAGACGGTGACCAGGTGGACAATTTTATTCGTTTCTCGTCGATACACACGCGACGAACAAAATCAATTCTACATATGAAACGAATCTATGAGCGAGGCAAACAGCCAAAGCTGTCGAACAGAGGCTTGATTGAATTGCTTCGAAAATTTATACAACATAAATATGACAAGCGTTTGGATATACCTGTACACACTTCTTCTTGCAAAAGATACTAAATCTACCAAATCACTCAATGTCAACGTGCATGCTAAGGCACGCTGTGTTCAATGATCGAACGAAATGTAGGACTAGAAACACATTGTTTATATTCTAATACTATATATCAATTAAACATTAAATGCTGAAGCATACGTACGCGCATACACGTATATATTTTTCAGATATAGAGACACACGCAAGCCTATATAAGTTTAGTTTCGATAAGATTCATGAAATTATATTCTACTCTGTAAAGGTAGCAATTATTTCGGATTAATTCAATATATAATCCTATTATGTACCTTATATCGCGCAAAATCGACGTGCAAAAGTTTAAAGAGAAAAACCAAAAGAAGATATCGGAGTGAAGTGAATCGATCCGTTTAGGAATTCATATATTCCCTATGATACGTATATATATTATTTTCCTACAATTACTCTCTCTCTCTCAAACGATTCTTCACGCAGTGTATAATGACGGAAATATAACAGTATCTCCAATAGTCGTTGATATAGATACTATAGAATCTTTGTTCTCAGCGTAAATGGCACCGCACAGACATGCCTTTGTGGATCATTGAATGCATTGTATTACGAATCGCGCGCGGTAATTTGCCACGCACACGCGCGACGTGTGTCATCTCAAATTAGTTTTACGCTCACGCGCAATTTTTCCTTGGTCCTATCAAATTTAAATGTACATCGAAACGTAGATTTAAATTTCGATAAGACGATACTAGGAATTCAGAGATACATTTGATTTACAAGGACACGTCCGTTTAGCGCAATCGTCCTTAATCTGATTCTCTCTGGGCGTATCTCCATCTCTTAAAAATGTATCAATCGCAGATGTTTTGAATCATACGTATGAAATTATTTTGTAATAATTATTGCAACGTTGTAGCAATTATTACAAAGCACTGTTACAGTTATTTTGCAATAATTTATCTTCATATAATTTACGCTCGCGTGTGAAGGAGATATTTTTAATCTACGGCTTATTTGGCACTTGATTTCACAGCTTGTACGAAAAGATTGGTCGTGACGTGGGGAGGTGAAGTACGTGAAACCGAGGGTTCAGGTTGGCACTCGATCCGCAGGCGCCCTCGTTTTATTTCTAGGACGTACCATTTCTGATCGTCACTTGGGCACACCAAGCAGCGCCAGCCGTATTGTCCTGTAAGAATGAATAAAAAAATTACATGAACAAGCTGTTATTTGTTATATATAATTTAAAATCGATTAGAGGACCAAATAAAATTGGAACTAAATTTATATTGTCACTTAAAGTCAGTTTTTAGATAAATTGACTTTAAAGTCAAACGATCGCTGTATATAATAATTCTCTGTAGATACTATATTAATTTTGCACGTCTTTATTTTACTTACGAATAGATAATATTAGACACGCAGAGACATAAATCGATATTCAATTTGCAGAGTTGACGTAAATGTTTTGAAGCGTCTGGGAACCTCTTATTATTATGACTTGCTACTTATTAATATTAATGAACATTTGGAAACGTTATCTTACCTCGTTTATGCCGCGGGTCACCCACGGGTTCATTGATTCTTCCGTGGAACTTGTGGGTTGATGGACAGAGTCTGCGACGACGAGAGACGACGGAGAACCTCTTCTCGCCTTTATCTCCAGCGAAAATAGATCACCTGCGTAAAGTATACCCAGGGTAATGCACGAGCTCACATCACGTTCCCCCATACAGCACAGAAATTTTCAACTAACATTTCAGCAACATCGTAATCTTATAAATTGCGGTATAATATTACAGAGACATTGTAGAGGGCCATACAATTTCAACAATTTGTAGCGATATTAGCTACAGAAATATTGTAAAAAATATTACTGCGCAATATGTACACTGCAATCTTGCAGTAAAATATTTTTGGAATGTTTCTGTAATCTTTTTGTGCTGTACGAGTTTTAATTTTTTCGCTATTCAGCCAGAAATGATTGGTCGAATCGACGTCAACTAGACGTCGATGCGTCGATAAATAGTCTAACTGGATAGAAATGATTGTAATTGCTTAAAAGATTTTTTGCGTGACAGTCGAATCCGCTAGATAGCAATAATGTTTTAAACGTAACAAAAAGACATGATAATAACGCTAAATATTATTGATACGTATTGTTTTCTCAAAATAAAGTAACCCGATTTTTATTCAAAAAATAATATTAATGTTATTCGCTATCGAATACTATTTTTACAAATACGTTCATGCCATGGCGATTAATTCCTAATGAGACAGATGAAGAAAATAGGAGAAGTGAAGCATAATAATCATTACCATCACCAACTGATATTAAGCGCGTAATGTTTAATGTCGTGACTACACTGACTACGCCGTATAGGCGGGAATATGCTACAAAGCGCTACGGTCTAAATAGCTAGTCAGAGCTATTTTGAATGACTCGATGAAAATTTTCTAATCAAAATACATTAAAAATTCATTAAATGTACAAACACTGGATTTGATCATCTTGAGAATGCAAATGTGATTATTACCACAACAATTTGGAAAATATTAATATTACAGGCACAAAAAATACTGAAAAAATTAGAAATGTAGCGCTACAATATCCCAGCAAGCAAAATGTTAGCAGTATTCTAGACAGCCAAGTTTGTCGAAAATATAGATTTTGCAAAATGTCTGCAGAAAGGCCGGCAAAATTTGTAGCAGACATTTCGCAGAGAATTTGTTCTCGACAGTCTTAACTATCTGGAATACTATTTGGCCATCGCGCGTATTTGATAATTATATATCTTTTTCATGTTTTTTTCCGTTAAGTCAAATAAAACTGTGCTCGTCGATCGTCTGTCTCATATACGTACGCTCAAAGACGTAAGGTAGATATGCAGTCGGTTAGCTTTCCTTCTCCTTCTCCTCCTCACCTCCTCATCCGCATATTTTCTCCACGACCTCGGTCTTCTTCAGTTCGTCGCTATTTTCTGGAAGCCGTCGCTCCGAAGAACACACGCTTTGTTCCGCGCGACCCTCCTATCCGCGAGGGAGATTCTCAGCTTCTCGAAAACTACACGTCAACTTGGGCAGAGACACCACAGCTTTCAATTATAACGCGAGCCACAACTTTCTTCACGGTGTGAAAACGGGGAATTACAGCGAAAGTTTACTAGACGATGTTATCGGATCTTTAAGCCACGCCCATCTTACTAGAGTTCGTTGTTAAGGATTCGACATAGCGACGGCGTAAAGCTAAACGCAAATTTCCTGATACAAGACCAATGGATGGTTCCGCCGCCCGAAAGAGATGTCGCGGACGAATCGGTTTGTCATTCTTGCTGTTTTCGCGGGCCGTACTTCGCGCTCGTTACTCCTAATTCGTCTGCGGCTAACCTTCTTTTCTGAGTCGTTTTTGGTAAGGTCAATAACGGCCGGTTTTTCCGATTTACAGAGTTTCAATTCGTCTTCCTTCTCCTTCTCCTCCAGGGATACAAGCTGTAGAAAATGATCAATTTACTCACTGTTTGCTTCGAATTAGAGAAGAGATGTTATATCTCTACTGCAGATGAATAGCATTAAGCTATTGAAATTGATAAATAAATAAAAAAAAACCTTGATCAATACGATAAATAAATTTATGTACCGTGATATTGCGTTGAGCATCCTGGATGATCTGCTGGTCGGAGTTATCTTTATCTTGGCATCGAGGACAATTTATAGCCACGTAATCTCCATACGTTTCTATGGTTTGAACAGCACGCGTGCAATTTGCATCTTCACATTGATCTTGCACATCTTCCGAATTCTTCTGCATATCTTCTGGAACTTGGTGCTTAGTTTGGCTCACGTCATTCATTTGCTGTTCATTTGCAGTTGTCTCGCCTCTATCTTCGCCATCATGCTCGTCGAAAGTACCTTTTGCCACGGTCCGCAGTTCGTTTTCCAACCAGTATACTCTCTCTGTAAGTCTATAGTTCTCATCCAACAGCTCCTCCTCTCGCTGCTTCGACAGCCGTTTCTCTTGTTCTCGACTCTTTTCGCCTTCCTCATACATTTCGAGTCTCTCCTCGAGGTCACGAACGCGCTCCTGGTAGGAGGTCAGCTGGACTATCGGATCCATTGTCGACACATCGAGACAGATCTTGGACGAGTCAATTGGTTGGAAGACCGGTGTTGTGATCTTGGCCGCTCGTTCTTGAATTCGCGCCCTTAATTCTTGGAGACGCTGCACCTCCTGCAGAAGTTCGCCGGACGGCGCTTCCGTCTGAGTACCGCGGCTAGCGAACTCGACGTCGCGCTCATCCTCATCCTCGTACTCCTTCTCTCCTTCTTCCTCTTCCTCCTCCTCGAATATACCGCTCTCCTGAAGGGTGAGCGGGGGCTTTCGCGGTAGCACGGGTGACGTGGATATCACAGAGTTTATTGTAGCATTATTCGTGTAGGGTATCACGGTCGCCACGGCGCGGCTTCTCTGTTTGTTGATTGAGTGATCCTGAAATATCATTGCATTGCAAAAAGTAAATTACATGATTATCGGCCAGGAATAATCTTGCAACAAGTAGTAAATAAGATTTTTTTAGTGACTAATTATTGTATGTTAATTCACTTAAACAGAACGTTGAAACGATTCAACGTTATATTCGAAAGAGAAACTGACCTTGTTCGTATGAGCGGGTTCCGGTGAGACGATGCCGCTGTCCACCGCATTGGGACTATCCTTGCGCACGGGTATCTCTTCCATTTCAAGCAATCGAAATTCCAGCAGCTCGTTTTGCTCCCGTATCTCCGAGAGCTCCACCAAAAGTGTAGCTTCTCGTTCTTCAGCAGCTCGTAGCTTATCGTTCAGCTCATTCAACTCTTTGTCCCGATCGGTACATTTCTGCGAAATACAAAAACCTTCGTCAAAACTCTCAAGCACGCGCAATACTAAGAATTAAAAATTCTTAATATTTAATTTCTAAAATCCCAGATTATAATCTATTCTACATTATAATATTAAACGAAAAGAAATTGTCAAGAAAAGTACGTAGAAATATTTTACCTCTTGCAAGAGTGCTTTTTCCAAGTCGCAAATGTGAGCCCTGGCGTGCGACAGTTCGCGTTGCTCTTTAAGAAGCTTCGACTGTAGCTCCTCGATCTCGACGAGAACGGCTTCATATGCTTCTCTAGTGACGCCATTGCCCTGCCACTGACCATAGCCTCCAGGCTGCGGCGACATCGAAGACGGGGCGCTCGACAGAGCGCTGTCATCATCTTCATGATCCTCCTCGTCGTCCACTTCGGCCACCGGCTCTAATTCCAGCCACTGTTTATAGAATTCCTCCTTCCTCTTTTTGTTGGATAACTGCTCCAACTTTCTCTCTCTCTCCTTAAGTAACAGAAAAGTAATCCGTTTTTATAGTTTCCAACTTAATTTCTAACAGAGTACTTGTCATTAAGAGAGTAAATATGAGTTGATTGTTTTATTAGCAAATTTAAATTATGATTTTCTCAAATTAAGATACCTATATTCTTATTATACACCATATTTTAAAGATGTTCTTTTTAATTCGCAAACTTTAGATTGAAATATCTTTCTTCCAAAACCAATGACGCGTAATAATTTTAGTATTCCGCATAGCACGTCAAAATTTACAAGATATAAATAAATTAAAAAATTATATTTTTCAAATTTTTGTATCTACTTTCTTAAGAAAATTCCATTACCTTAACTGCCTGTCTAAGTATTTCGATGACTTCCTGCTGCTCAAGCGCGAGTTCACGGAGGCGCTCGACCTCGATTTCATTTATGGCTCTGTCGGATTCTATTGCGCGCACATATGACCTCACCTTAAACAATACTCCACCTTAATGGCTTATGTTATTACACACTTTTATCGCAATGAGAAATATTAATGAGAAATATTAATGGTAATAGATAATCGTTTACGTATAAAGTTATGTACAAAGTTTACATATAAAACTTATATATATAAAAATAATTAAAGTAATTTCGCAATATGTGTTTGTCGGAGGAATTAATAGAAAAAATTACTTGCGTTAAAGAATTACGTACTATGTGACCATCGTCTTTGAGAATCTTCTTCTCTGTGCGAGATGCGGCCTGTATCGGCCGGTTCCCCTCGTTCTCCCGTAACTTCCGCATCTGTAATAGATAATCAAAATAATTAATCCTTAATGGACGCCTTCATCATATCAGTTATTCCTGTAGGTAAACGGATATTCCGTTTTTTTTTGCATATTACATTAAAGTGAAATCGAAATATATGTGACAAAAATTGTTTTTTGAGCAGCAAAGTTAAATGTCAAAGTTGAAATAAGAGAAAAAAAGAAAGTTCCATAATTAACTTCTACATAAAAACTATTAAATCAATGCAGAAAATGATGTTCATTAAAAAAATTTACAAGTATTTTTCTTTACAGTTACTTTTCGACATTGTTTTATCGATAACAATGCCATTTTTTGGTCAAATAACCGCGAGGTAAATAAAGCCATTGGATTCAAAGGGAGGAGCACAATATTATTGTGGCTTTCTTCCAAAGCGGAGTTACGCCGTTCGTTCTTAGCGTTCCTCGGAAGGAAGTAGCAGAAATCTATCGCGATAGTTTCAGCGGATTCAGTCTTCCGGATGAACGTCACGGTCCGATGCGACATATGTGCAACGAGCCGGGAAGCCGCTAGAGGAAGAGACGGGGGGAGGGGAGAGATGGGAGAGAAAGAGAGAAAGAGGAGAGAGAGAAAAGCAGACGAGTTGCGTTGCAACGATTGGATTACGGGAGAGTCTCGAGAGTCTGGGTGGACCGTTAGCTTGGCCCCCTGACATACAGCCGCGGCAGAGAGTCTCTCCCTCTCTCCCCCTCGCGCCACACAGTTTCCTTCCTCCTCAGGTGATTTCAACGTGTGGCGGTGTGTGTACAGCGTGTATATGCACCGAAACGTAAAGAGATGCGCCGAGAGAGTCGACGATTGCACCTTGCGCACTTGCCGTACCGCGCGCGATGATGCACTTTGCGCTATATATGTAAATTGTTGGACACGCGCGCCCGTTTTACACCGGCTCGTTTCTCCTCTCTTCTTCGGGCCAGGGGGATCGACTATATCGGATATAAGACATATTGGGACAGGTGAAACGAGCGCGTCACGCGTTACCGTTATCCGCCGCTTCGCCGCTCGTCTCGTCTTGTTTTGTTCCGACGTTTTCTTATATTTATTCGACACCTGGGGTACAGTTAATCGGAATAAACATTGAAATTATACACAGCGATTTCAATGAGCGCAGAAAAAATCTATTTTCCGAAACTCCGGATATTTTACTTCGATTCTCCGACCTCTACACATAGTAATTAATACAATAACAGCCTAGGGCAATAATTAAAATGTTCCGGTGAATGAGTAGTTAATGAATATTGATAAATAATTCGATCTTTTTCCTGAGTGAAAATATATGACTTTCATTATTTACTTATCTTTTAGACATCAATTAAAACTTTAATTTTTGGAAGATGACTCTTTAACTCTTTAAAAATGAAAATCGCGTCGTGGCTCTCGAAAGGATTAATTACTAGTGAAATTACTAATAACTTCACCAAGTGTTTCTTTTACATACTAATTGAGTCACCGAATAGGAAAATGATTGTAATCATAAATTATACTTTCTTTTATAAAGTACAACCATCTTTTATAGCATTATTATTTTCTGTGATTAAAAAAGTTGTAAGGAGAGATATCTGAAATCATAAAAAAAATACGTGATCTTTATTTTCATTTATTTATTATCACATTTTCTTTCTGATTTATATCGCTTTATTCATACATCATCCAATTATCCGTCCAACATCAATTATTTTTCAAATATATCGAGAATATTGAGAAAAAATTCTACGCTGCAATTGAAGCGTGACATCTCTATAATAGGAATCCATATATGTATCCGGCAACTCTATGTAACGATGTAACGAGAGTAGTAGATCTATCTATAGATTCGTTCCCTCTGTGAACAGGTTGAATTTAGGATATCCTATGGAAATCTCGCGTGCGGCGTCTTGACTTGATCCGTACCATCCCATGCAGTAGGTACCTGATCTCACTTTCACCGATCGTCTCTCGCCCCCGCTTACAGATCTCGTAATCCGTCTGCGTGTTTCGCGAATGGCTTGCGTATTTGAGTATTTCTAATGTACTACCGCCCATTAAAGATGAACGGAACTTCTTTATTAATCCGCGATCGGTCCTTGCTCCTAGACTGTTAATTCGATCGCAATCGCGATAAAGATTTACGTTTCGAGCTTACATCATCCGAGAATACAAGGCAATCGTTTTTCTTTATATGCGATTATGAAAAAAACTAAGACGTTTTATAAAGATTTTATCAAGAGATTTATAAGATATTTTATCAAGAAAAATTTAAGATATCTACAGTATCAGAAATACAGTTGATAAAACTATTTCGTTATTAATTCTTCATTGCGTGTAACACATAATCTAATAGTTTTTATATAAATACATTAAAAATAATTATAGACAATGAAGAAACGTATTATAGAGATTCTTGATAATGACGTTGATTAACAATGTAATTCGAATTTTGCAAATAATATATGCAACACAATTGTTCTCTCTACACACACACACACACACACACACACACATTTTTTTTTTACATAAATACGAAATGCTTTTTAGTAAATATATTTTTAATCCTGAAAATATTTTTTATACTGTACAATATACAATTAGAAACTTTTATACACAATTATAAACAAAATTACAAACTTTAGTCGGAGCACTAAAATAATATAAAATTAATTAATAAACACATAAATTTTGTCATGTTACAGTCTTCTTTAAAAAGATACGATAGAGGCACAACAAATTTTATTTGTACCAAGAAAAACTCATTAAATTACAATTCTTCTTGAATGTACCTCCTGAAATAACATTCTAAATTTTTTCCAATTTTAATCAAATCAAAATAAATTTTCCATTATAAAATAAAAATCTCAAAAGTGGCATTTAGTTCCGACACGTATGTTTTTTTCAATGAGCGCGCCCGGCAACACGACGACGTGCGCTCATGATTTATTATTATATATTAATACGATTCTTGCCAAGCCCTCGCGCGCTGTCTGTCGCGCTCGAAGCGCGACTTTCGCTCTCATTGTCAGTTTTACTCGCGCTCGCCGACCCGCATGTAAAATCGAAACGTCCGCGTTATTGAAGGACGTGCCGTGGGTGCCGAACGCGTATATATAACATACCTATAATAACGTATCGTCCTTTCTATGCGTGCTCGTTACTTCTTACGCTAAGAAAGGAAGTTGCTAATTGCACCGCAATATACGCCCACGATTACTCAGGTATTATTAATAACGTGACTACGATGATTGGATTGGAATTACATAGCGCTCCGCCGGCCGTATAGACTACGTGAGACTACGTAAGCGCGCGTCTCTCCCACGCCAGTCGCGGTACGTTCCGCACAGATGCGATGCCCAAGGCGCATCGTGTTTGCGGCTTGACCACGAACTTGGACTCCGATCATCCCCCCAGGGTTTCTCAATGACGATTATCGTCAATTATCTTCTTTCGAGAAGAACCAAAATAAAAGACCGAATCAACTTATCCGCTAATTGTAAGACGCGGCCAAGACGGTGAAGACGTGGCGGGATGCCATAAAATGTCACGAAGAGCTCCAGGGAGATCGGTTGGTTTAAGCGAGCGTAACTTTATCGCGGTTTCTCGCGAAAAGAGGATGGAAAGGAGACAGGTCTCTCGCCGGATCTCTCGATTATTCTTTCCATCGATCCGCCCGCGCGCGCGGATCTCTCTATAAAGTCAAGGATAAGAGAGGCGAGGTTGAGCGAAGGTGTTGTTAAGTAGGTACATAGAGAAACCGCGACGGTGATCCTCGAGGTGATCCGGTCCGGTAACGTGACCGCGGGCTCGATCGCGCGCTAATATATGTGCGGCTCTCGTGCACCGATGTATCACGACCCGCGCTCATATCTCTGCGGTTGCCTGCAGGGGGACGAGGGAGAACGCGAAGGGGACAGGGAGATTGGGAACTTTCTTCTGCGAAGTAGCTCACCGAGAGTGGCCGGTATCGTTAGTTGTCGAGAAGGTACTTGCCTACCGGCGCCGCGGCCATGCCGAGCCGAGCCGAGTCGAGCCGCGCCGCATTCTCGCCCCGAAGAGTCTGTTCTCCGCCGATTCTAGAAGGCTCAAGATAGAATCGCGAAGGGAGAGAACGTGCCGCGCGCCGGCCGTTCCACTTGCAATCGAGAGACGAGAAGCGAGGAAGCGCATCCGGTGAAATAACAGCTCCGTTTGGAGCCCGGTATATACGCGCGCGACGGATCGCTGCCGCCTTTCTCTCTCTCGCCTTCTTTTACGCGTCGCGGAGTCATTGAAATTCATCCCGCGTGCCAGCCGCCTCGAAGGAGGACAATGGTAGATAGTTAAGTGCTTAAGGCATACTTACGTGTCCGCTCGTGCCTACACGCGCATCGGGACACATTCAGGCATGATCCGCCTTGGATATACCAGGCGTGTGTGAGTGCGGCGGACACGGAGTTTCAACGGATCGGCGAATTTGCATGGAGCTAAGATATTCGTCTATTAACCGCCGATTTCTCGTGTCGATTCATATTTACGAACTTTTTGTCATACCGTTCCCGCGAAGTCGCGGGCATTCCGCATTCCGTGATTGTTCGATCTTAATCTTTGAGCGAGACCGTGGAAAATTAAGTTAAAGTTAAGCTACTATTGTATGGCGCAGCAAAATGCTATATATATATACTCTGTCTTAAGAATACTCGTCTTTTCTATAGAAATAGGAGATAATTAACAGTGAAACTTGTATGTTATTTTCAGTTCAGGTAAATCAACCGGATGATGAGTTATTGCAACGCGTTTATACACGCATCGGCAACCACTATAATTCTTCATACATAATGAATGTATATGATGGAAACTACTATTGTTGGCTCTTCATAACGAAAGGATTAACGGTTGGCACAGTATATTAATATGTTGTGCAGGATACATTAATATACGGTATATTATACTGTGAGATTTGGCACTTACATATTTACATATTCACATATTTATTGTCTATTGTTCTAAATTTATTTTGTAAACATATTAAAATCTCTTTATTTCACTCTATTTTTCATTTAAAATTCTAATTCTCCGATTCAATGCAGTACATTGCCGGCAATCCGCTCAACAGTTCTTGTAATAACTTGGCAACGACTACCAATTAGTCGAAAACCAATTCTTCTTAGGACAATTTCTACTTTCAGCCAATTGCCTCTTACGGAATTATTATAGGTATTACCAGAAGCGCGCTAATTCAACATGTGTATGACTAACTGGATCCACTCTCTATTCTTCATTAGGCGCAAAATGACTACGCGAAATAATTCAATTACGGGAATTGTTACAATCGTTCGGAATACACTCGTGTTTTCTGCTATTTTTTTTCCTCTCGCGTCGCGACCCGCATTGCGAGGATCGTTCCCACGGTACGTCGACGACACGCAACTTATGTCGATTTCCCTGGGAACGCGATCGGCTCCACGCTCTATTCGCGTTCTACTCAGGGACAAGAGAAGGCGCCGGTGAAACTGGAGTAGGAGCGTGAAAATATTCAATCTTGATGACTACGTGCGAGCGCGGACTGTCGCAGCCAATTGCTCACACGGAATAATAATGTAAATATTTGAATCCTGAGTGATGCCAATGCGCAATATTTTTAAATCTTGAATTGCGCATTTACGATAGAATATTAGTGTTGCTTTTTATTATTTCTAGAAAAATTATGCTCGTTGTTTTGACCGTAATAGCGGCTCTTATTTATAAATATTTTTTCTAGATTTTGTGATTTTTTCAGATTAAAATTTCGGGATTTTTAATAAATTAATATTATTGAAAATAAACAAGAAAAAAGATACTATCATCGTGCAATGCATCGTTATTATTATTGCTAAGTATTATTGCTAAATATTATTGCTAAGTATTTTGTAACATCTCATATAGCGATCAACTTTCGTGACGACGAAATCGAATGAAAAGCATTATCGTCGTTATGACGTAACAAATTATATTCGAAAAAAAAAAAACTATTCTTACCTATAGAATTGAAATGTATAACTTTTATCGCATCGTCAATCAACAATTTACTGAAATATTTGTAAATCACCAAGTTACTGAAAAATCGATAAAAAAATCACTGAAAGTTTCTTTCCTACCGATGTTCCTAATGATGCTCTTTCATAACGCGTCTTAACGATGAATCGTTGTAATGTCATTATATATATGCAGTGAAAATTTTCATTATAATGATTTCTTGTATGTGATGAACGCATAGGTGAAAGCCTACTGTAGTAGCTGTTTGTACTGAAAAGGTTAAAAGTTAAAATTGCCAATTTCCTCTTACTCCTCTATTCAAGTAACTCTTTATAATATAATATAATATATTTATTATATATTTATAATATAATATAATATATTTATTATATATTTATAATATAATATAATATAAAATCTAATAAATCTTTATAACATAAAATCCGAAATCAAAGTTATAATTGCCAATTCATCTGCTCCCCTTACTTTTCTGTTCAAGTGATCCTTTACTTTAAAGTATAAAATCTAAAATCAAAGTTATAATTGCCAATTCATCTCCCCTTACTTTTCTGTTTATAAGTGACACTTTAAAATATAAAATCTAAAATCGTCCGGTGAAAATGACGAATTCATTTGAAAAAATTCGCGATTCCGAGCTCGTCGACTCTAACGGATAATCGTGCGTAAACGGAGGAGACAAGGGGAGATGCGGACCGTAATCCTTACCTCGTTCCACGCGAACCCCATGAAGCGCACGTTGATCCTGAGAATTCATATAACGGGCGTGAAGAAGGGAGTATATCGGGATGTCAGGTATACGCGCCGGTATACCTGTAAAACGAATACACGGAGATCGTTGCGAATCCTTCGATCGTGTGTCACTACTCGAGGGGGGGGGGGGGCCACACGTACAGGGAAGTGTGGTGCGGGCCTACGTCGGAAGAGAAGCGGTGCGCGCACGGCCGACGTCTAGACCAGACTGAAGCGAGGGTACCTCCGATAATCGTGGGGGCCTTCTACGCTACCTGTGCGCGCGGAGTTGCGAGCGCGGACCCGTTCCTCTCCTCCATACCATTCGGAAAGTTACGGGCGTATATCTACGGTTTGCTGACCTGGCAGGAACTTAAACCCGAGACACAATGAAACGTAAGATTAGGATCATAACTGCTCCCTATTCCCCTCTCCTCCCAACCCCCCTTGCTCGTCAAAGGGTGTGACGGAAGACAATGCGCTCGCGTACCCTTCCGTGTGTTATCTTCACGTCAGAATCGTTCCTGTGTGATTTTGACAAGCTAATCTGCTAATTCTGCGTTTGATTAACGGAGCATTTTCTTGAAGTAAGAAGAAAAAATGGAGTTTATATCATCGAAACCTTCCATTATTATTCTTCTTGATATATTAAAAGAAACGTTTAAATACTCAGGAAGGGTTTTTAGACTGTATATATGTTTCTCCTGGAAAGGAGAGTGTATTAGACATCGATTGAGATTGGAAATTGAAAAGTTTCGAGGCGATTCGCTCTTCGAAGAGCAAAGCGTTTCTTTGTGTTTTCATTTCTCCTCTTTTTTAGATTAGAGTTCACGAAACCGTTGGCAAAGAAAAGAAGCGTCTTTTATCGCTTTTACCGCTTTTACTGTAGATCCCGCGCTACCGTTAGCTAGCTCGATTAAGCTCGGCGATAAGACGGGAAAGGGTGTCAATTATATTGTGCGGCGCATAACTACAACCTTTTAGCGGCGGCCGCTCTCGCTCGCATGGCCTTTAAGTTCCTTAAAGATGACGAAGACGCGTATAATGCACAATGAGCGAGCGGCGCGGGTCGTCTTGCGACGTTGACCCGGTACGTTGACCCGGGCGGTATCACGATATATCCGAAGTACCTTCGGCTAAAAGCGAACCATCAAGATACAAAATATCCATCGGATTCAGCGATTTGTAATGGCTTCGTTGAATCATTAAACGCTTCGACGAAAGTAAAGACCGCTGTCCAAAAAGTAGCGACCGCGATGTCGTCAGCGCATCTCTTTTGGAGCGTGTCCAAATATCTAAGTCTTAAACGGCGCGGTATCATCTTAAGCACACTTCGGTATATCGCTTCACATAATGGTTCATTAACCATGCATCGGCGAGCTACTACAGCCACACCTATAGTTTTGCGTTTGACAATGACGTAATTCTAGTGACTAATGGCTTCTTTTAGCTCTGTGCTTAGCCACTCTGTGGCTTATACTGAAACATCCTGACAAAGAAGAGAAGCGATAGGACACGAGTATTTCCGGTTCGAGAGAAAATGCTCTCTAAAAATCATCTTTAGCATAAGTACTGTTATTATGGATAGACGGGTAGATGGCATTTTTAAGAGCTCGAGTATAAGCCGATGATTTTAACTCTCTGAACGAGCCGAGTGTCCGTGTGCCAATGGCTTCTAGGAAACTTGATGCTGTATAAACTTACATCGGAAGTCACACGATATGATAATCGCGTGCACCGGTACGGTCCTCAGGGTGAACCGTTGGACTGTTCACACGACGGTTCTTTGCCGTCGTATCTGAGAACGAATGAAATAAGAAAGAATTCAGAGCGAGATATCCCTGGCGAGAACGAGACAAAAGAGACTATTGATACATTCCACTCAGTGACAGACGATTAATTAAACAAACATGATGTGTTATAAATTAAATAGTTTAAAGATCTATATCTGAAGCGATAATATCAATATTCAAATTAGGAAAGATATTTTAATTTATACTGTTTTTTAGCTTTTTTGAATGACCAAAACCATTTCGAGCAGTAAGATCATTAATTGAAGAAATACCTATGAATAAATGGATATATATACAATGTCCTAAAACATATTTTATCTCTGCAATCGGAAATTGGAATCGATTTTTATAGAAATATCGAAAACCTAGTGTTGAAAACTGAATAATTATAAGCAATTAGAAATGAAGAACCTTTTAGGAAACAAGCTTTATAAATATGATTGCATAGACAGACATAATATTTCTTACACAATTTAGATATATTGACACTAAATATTTATAAGTCGTAAAATCTTCCAAGACCTAATAATACGCTTCTCTTTTCTCATAAAAATGTTTAAAAAATGTTAGTTTTCTAATGTATAGAACTATTCAAAAAAATTTTATTTTTCAAGTTATATTGATTGCTAAGTATTGTAAAATAATTATAATATTATGTATTATAATTTTTTTTTGTATTTTGTAAATGATATACATAGCATGTTTATTACTAAATGTATTTAATGAGCATTGCTCATAGCAATGTTTCTTGTCCAAAATTAAAGTATTTTTACTTTAATTGTTATTCTATATACTGGCGAAAGAAATTTATTATAAAGTATTTTTATTAACAAAAATATTACGATTTGATGTTAGCAATAATGAATTTTAGAGATAGAAATTTATAAACGCAAAATCTTATTATACAATTTTGATGAAATATCTTCAATTTAGATTAATAAATCGACTTAAAATGCATTTTTCCACGACACTTAATATCAAAGTTTTGTTAAAAACTTAGAAAAAATGTAACACTTATTTATCACATTTTATTTTAGTAAAAAAAACTTGTCTTCAGCAAAAATGATATCACGTGCACGAGTAAAAACGCAGCTATTACTAAAAACTCTTTGTAAAACAAGGGAAACTTCGTATCCTGGTTTTTAATCGCTCCACGACTTTTCTCGCGGAAGCGGAAACACGTCAGTAAATAATGCAGGTACTCACCGTCCTCTCCTGCTCCGCCGGCGCCAACTTTCGACGTTTCAAGAGCTTCGACAGCTTCTCAATCTCTCGGCTCTTGCCACGCAGCTCATCCATCTGCAAAAATTCGCAAAACTCGTTTGAATGCGGCGGATCTCTCGCTCGCTCGCGCGCGCGCGCGTGGACACGTGTGGCGAAAGTTGCAATGAGAAAAATTAACATCGCCGGCGATCGCGACGAAGAATGGGATACACGGCGATGACGAAGGGGAGGGGCAGAGCGATCGGTCCCTTTCGTACCGCTTTCGAGCTCTCACCTCGTCCCACCGCGTCTCAAGTCAGGCTTGTCAGGCCCCCGGGGCCTTTTTGCCTTCACCTTGTCTGTACAGGTGTGGGATGAGAGAAACGCCGCGTTTATCCGCCGCGCCGTCGATATCCCTAAGCATCCAACGGTGTCCGCATCGTATATACAAGCACGTACAAGCGCGTGCGTTTTGTTCCGGTTGCGCGCGATAGCAGCCACGATTTCTGAGAACGATGAATCATCTGGCGACCGGAAGTTTTAAATCAATGATATTACCGTGATCGGATTACGATCCGAACGTGACGGCTAAATGAGCGCGTAAACGAGCGCCGCTTGATAATCCCGTCGAACGGCATTTTCGTCTCGTAGCAATTATATAGGTATAGTTGGATGTCGAATTCGTTCAATTCTTAGCGTTAAAATACACGAAAATTACTAACTTTCATTCTATTTGTATTGTATATACTGTATATTGTATAAATATTTTTAAATATAAAAGATTCTATTGCAATTTTATGCTCTTATAATCTTAACAACTACCATTTTAGATTAATAATTAATGAGATTTTTCCGTGAATATGACGTTCGAATTAATTTTCATTAAGTTTCCATTCAGCAAACGAGATTCATGATTCTTCACTTTTGTTTGCTCGCTCCACATGCCGAGCCGTCTCGTCAGTCTCTTTTTGTTATCTTCGATATTTGGCTGCTCGCCAAGAATCAGGTCGCGATCGTATTAGTTCGCGCGCGCCGGCAATGCGGCAGGCAACATCACACCGCACGATTTCGACCGCAATGTGGCATGCTAGGAAGCGGGAAGTGCCTCCCCAAGCTACACACGGCGAGCCGATGAATACGAATAAATATCTTAGAATTAAATATAGCATCCGACGCGGACTTGGACGCGGTAGCGTCTAGAGATTAGACATAGCTTAAAATAAATCATTGAAAGTGAGTTTTCGTTCATCGTAAATAAAACTAAATACAAAATGAAATTACATCGGTGACTTTGAAAGAAAATCGAAAGAAGAGAAATTTTAATCTTATACGTAATTCGAGAAGGAAATGAGTATAAATTACCAAAAGTACTCTTCTTTATTTTTAATGCATTTAAAATTTGAAATAATATAGAATAAAAAAGATCACAAACTTCATTTCCGTAAATAATTCATGCTTTCCATATTCTAGCGATCGATCTATTAGATCGATCGAATAATTACCGTATCAGAATTGAAAAGATGAAATTTAAAAGTCGATTATTTAAACGGAGAAACAAATTCAAAAAGAGGAATAATTTTCCCTATTCATTTGCTGCACGTACGATCTGCCTTGCAATTTGCAAACTGTTGAATCACACATCGAAATTCCGGAGCTCAAGAATAGAGCGTGGGAAACTCGTGACCATTTTGGGTAATCGCATAGCGAGGGTATTCTTTTTCGTCGACGCTATGGCAAACCGTTTCGCCGCGTGTCGGTAAAACTATTGTCCGAATAAGCCGCCGGACCGGACTGCTGCATCCTGGACAAGCTCATTCCTAGTTAGTGCGGGGCCAATACCGCAGGGCATAATTTTTTAATAAGCATCTTCGGAGGAGTCTCGTGCTGACGCTAGCGCTCTCGCATTCGTGAAGGCGGATATTTTTACGTGCCCGAGTGGTGAATCGCCCCTCAGAGGCGATATTACGACTACCCTCTATTTCTACCTTCGGGCCAACGTCACGGCCGCATAATTATTAAGAGCCATTAAGGTATTTTATGACGGCGCTGTTGATGTACTTCCGATATCTAAACTATGCGCTTACCATTTTTATAGCTTCGCTGCGAAGTGATTTTCGCAGGGCGGAAAGTTCAGCCTCGTGACTCTCCCGTTGAGCTCGTATCTCAGCGATGCGAGTTTTCTCGGCATTTAGAGCGATCTAAATATAAAAATTTCTCTTATAAGCAAGAAATTACGGAGGAACGAAGATTTATCGCGCGCACGTAATAAATCAATGACAATGTGTCTCGAAAAAGACATTTATCTAAAAGTTATAAATTAAAAAATTCATACGATTAAGTTCTTAGTAGGGAAATATGAACGTCTTTGTTAAAATAGAAAATATCGTAGACATTTCTATATTTGTTACTAAAATGATCTATATCTATCATTAAAGTTGATCATTTCTAAATTTAAGTTCGAAAGAGTCTTTCTAAAAACTTAAAAAATTTAGAGAGTATACTTACACGCAATTTTTCTTCGAGTTTCTCGTTTTCTGCGCGTAGATTTCGTATTTCCGCTTCCAGACGGCGCGCATCACCGTAGGAAGAAGTACCATTGGTATTGCGAGCAATGTTCGCTTGCGATTTCACCAATTGTTCGAGTTTTCGTATTGTGCCCCCAGCTTCAATTAAGCGTTTTCTGAGGGTTGACAATTCATGCTTGTGACTCTCGTCTTTCACGGGATCCGATTTGAATGGCGGCGACGGCGACGGCGATGGCGACACAGATTGGACGATCCTGAAAGAAAATATTAATACTCTTTTAATTACGTTTGTTGGACGACAGTCTTCGGGATTCAAGTTCCGAAAATTACGAATGATCATTTTCTATTGAGGCATAAGAATGGACCTTCAGACTTCAGGACCGAAATAACTGCCATATTAAGAAATAAAAAATTGAAGACTTAGGACACGCGAAGCTTCAGATATGTAAGGACACTTTACCTGGTTTTTAGGTCGGCTATGATCGGTTGGTACTTGGCAGCCTCGGCAAATCTGGTTTCTCTAAGGGCAGTTTCGAACTCCCTCTTGGCAATTTTTGCCGCCCTTCGCTCTTCATGTAACTCCGTTCGCACGTTTGCCAGGTCCTCGCGTAGCTTTCGCGCACCTTCCTCGAGCCATTGTATCGTTTTTCTTAATCTGGTCGCATCACTTCTTCCCACACCTGCTTCGCAAGACCGTGACATTCTAACATCTTGCGGATTTATTGGCACAGCCTGCTCTTTCTTTCTCAGACGTGGCAGTGATGAGTCCTTTTTATCTTCCGTATGCTCAGCCCTTCTTTCATTGGTTGCTTCACTGAGGGTGAAAAGTAAGAAATTGCATCAAACATTAGAACACATAATTTATTTTATATAATATTCTCTAATTAATCAAATCAAACTAATATTTTTTTTTATGTAAGTCATAAAATCTAAATACAAGAGATTATTATAGCAATAATTGTAATAATTGTTAATATTTCGTTTTTAATGTTTAAAATATACAGAGCATTTTTAGATTTATAAAAAATAAACCTCAAATTTATCAAATTTGAGAACCAGAAACTACAGAAAGATCGAAAATATTTCTGTAGTTATTATTAAGTAACCACTGTAGTTTGTCTCTTCTAAATTTTTACAGTTCTCTTCTAAACATTTTTTTTAATTCAAAGAGTGTTCTTACAATACTAGAGTTCGTTAAGAAATTGTGAAAGAACACATTTTCTTTTTTTTGCATATTCAAAACTTCTTCTTTGTTTGAATATCTTTGTTTAGCTGTGTCGTTGATGCATTTTTGAACAATACCGATAATTAATCGTAGATATTTATTACGTGCGAAGTCGCTATAAATATCCTTACGCATAGGAATTGCACGACTCGTCGCGTCGCTGCGTTTTCTCAGGGATCTCCGAGTTCGTTGTCAGAGATTCTAATCGTCGTCGTTTTCTCGCACCCTCCGTGGATGCGAGAATGTTGATTCCAGTCGTCGTTGATTTGTTCGTGTTCGTCGGCTTGACGGTGTCTCCCTCTGAGGAGCTTGCCATCGTCGCTGGTAAAAAAACCGCAGATATTTATAAACTTTCAAACGTTCATCTACATACATATATGTAGGATCTCCCAGCATAGGCGCACGTAACCAAAGAGTTGCGAGTCATTTCCATTCTTAGAAATAATTTAAAAACAATCGCGTATACATAATAATATAAATTTTTTTTATAAAACATTAAGAAAATACTAAATTGTAATTAAATAAAATCGTCTTTCAGCATTCTTATCCCCGTAAACTTCGAAACTCGACTTTAACGTTTAAAATTTTTTTTGCAAATGGAATTATTGTATTAGTCTGAATTGCAGCAACTTTTTTTAATATTAAAAGCTTTCTATTTTTGAATTTGTCAGGCTCGAAACAATTAATGGAAGTGATATTTCCATTAAAAGGCTGCAAATGAAATTAAGAATAGAACAATAAAGCCTTTATTATGTGTGTATGAGAATATAGATACTATTTCCAATACCTTGATATGAGACGTGCATTAATGCTATTATCTTAAATGCCTTTACTTTATAGAGAGGGTGCGGGGTCATAACACAAAGAGCGTTTTTTTTTTCAATTATGAATTTCCTAGTTAAATGGATTCTCTAATTAAACGTTTAAACGTTTTAAATGTAACAGGGATGAAATTCCATGCAAGTGAGGTAATTGCAGCTTAGAACCTCACGTGATATTTTTCTAAATGTTTATTATTATTTAGTGAAACTGAAAAGACCTCGGCCAGTTTCGTTTTACAGCCACGGCAAGCAGCAAGCTCGTTCGCCGCTTGGCGAACGAGAATCGCGACAAAAACGGACTTACCGTTTTTCGTGAGGACGTGAGAATATCTTGGCCGACCAATCTCGGGCTTAGCCGAGTATATTGTTGGATCTCCGGTACGGCGGCGAATCCTCCTCGCGAGAGACACCGTCGCCAACTAAGAGAGGCCGAGGCCCTAAACTACACCACGGCCTGCGGCCGCTATATGTGCTAATCGCGTCATCTCGTCTCTTTGGCTCTATTTAGCTCTCATCACTCCTGTCCCCTCGCCCCGCGTACCCGCCCACCCACTCTAAGTTTGACCAGCTGGCCGTGCGCGTCCGCTCTCATCTGCACGAACTTATGGTCGCGATCATTCTCGACAAAGTGTCTCGATTAGAAGGGAGATCTTTTCATATTTTAATATAAACTATAATAAAAAAATATATGGACAGATGATGTCAAAGATTATCATCCGCTGTTGAACGCTCTAGCAAAAAGAGTGAAAGTTTGGCTCACCATTTTCGATCAGTCTCTCATCAAAACACTGCTGACTCATGATAAAGAAAAGGAAATTAAAAAGGAAAAAATGATAACAGTATTAAATTATACGGTGATATACAAATACTTTTCTTTAAAGCGTAAATGAAGTTAATTTATCAACTAACTTTACAGTGCGTGTAAACTGTACTGTAGATATTATTAAATATTTCATATGTATATAAAGCACTTCTATCATAAGTGCTGAAATTGCAGCTAAATTAAAATATGCACTGAGAAAAAAAATTGATTGTACGGACTAAATTTTGTAGCTATATAGTTGTTGACCCAATGATTGATTCAACAATTATTAAGTTTGCTCTAAAAAAGGTATAATTCACTCACATATCAACCATCAAAATTTTTAAATCAAGGATTAGTTAATTTAACTAATGTTTACTTAAATCAACTAATATGTTTAGTTGAACATATTGGACTAAATATTTTAGTTGGATGAAACACATTTTGTTTTTTAATAAATTTTTTTCTCAGTGTGTATAACATAAATTAAGCAATTAATATTCTTTCTATGAAATATATAGGAAATACCGGGGCACCATGAGCCACGGGGTACCATGGGTCATTGACTGTTTAGGATAATCTAGAATGTTTAGGTTAGTATAACTATAGTATCATGTGACAGTTATATACTTCATTGCCCATACTTTGTATCTTAGGTGATAGTGATCAAAGTCTGTGATCAAAGTCTCGTGACGCACGTGACATAAATGATTTTCGTGATACATAAGTAACTTTTTAACTGATTAAAAAAGTTTTAATATTGGTTTTGTAGTAGAATATACATGTACTGACACTCAGATGCAACTTTCCTGCTTTCTTTTGTGATTTTATAACACTATAGATAATCATGTATCATTTATTTTTTAAATTACATTTTACCGTTTTCTATATTAAGTGCATTCGGGGCATCATGGGTCACACATTAACTTATGCATGCCATCGAGGATATTGATAGATAAAGATTTACAGTCAACGGCACAAGAAAAAGAAGTAGCTGATGAGATTCCAAGCCAGTTTAAAAGTTCCACAGAAATTAGAGGCTATCCAAAGGCAATACATCAGTATGGAACTAGAAAACGTAGACAGCAGGGTAGCAGCAAAATTTAGACTGATTCTCCGGAAAAAAAGCTTAGTAGAAAAAAAGAAAAAACAAGAAAGAAAGGAAAATAAAACACGGAAGAGAAAACCAAAAAAGTTAAAAAACGTCCTTACAGTTATTAATAAGTCAAAGCACATAACATGATAGCGATATACGACGGTCGTAGTCCTCGACCTGACAAATCAGGATACGCCAAAGCTTGTGCGTTACTTACGTCCATGACTACGACTGTCATATGTGCTTTGGCCCTTATTAATGAATTAGATAAAGAAAAAAGTATAAACGTTTATGTTTTTTGTTTGTAAAAGAGTATAAACATTTGTTTTGTTTGTAAAAAAATGAACATTTATGTCTTTTGTTTGTAAAATGTTATTTTTGATCAAAGAAAACATGTCAGAAATAAGTTTTTCTTCCAGAAAATAATATTTCAATAGTAGGTAGTTCGGTATCTTGTCTGTCCTGTAAAATCCTGAACAGTGTGATAAAAAATGTATAAAATAAGATATATTTTTAACTTTTGTAACATTTTGTTATTTCTTGAATGAATAAATCTAGTTTTTGTGTGTGACCCATAGTGCCCCAGTGACAGACTCATGGTGCCGCGGGTACCATGGGTCATTTCTCAAAAAATGTTTTAATTTTTTTTCAAAAATTAATCAATATTTATCAAATATGTTAAATAAACTTTAAAATATACATTGTGCTTTAACTATTTAAAAAAAATGAGACGAAAAATCTTATATTTAAAGGTATACTTTTCAGAGTTTGAATTTTTATGGGTCATGGTGTCCCGGTCTCCCCTACATTTTTTTTTTTTTTTTTTTTTAATTGGTCGATACTCTTGGTTATCTGAATAATTAAAGCATTACAAAATAAAAGATATGAATTAATAAATCGTTTAGTTATTATTTATTTAACGCTTATATCTGAAGGAACTCAAGAGATTTTCGTCGCAAGTCAGGAGACGGTCATTATATTACAAAATCGCCGTCAAGTGGTCCAAAGGCCCCTAGGGCCCGGTCCGCGTCCCACACCGCTGATAAGGGATGAAGAAGGGATGCGGATCGGCCGTTAGCTCGGTAAGCGAGAGAAAGTCCAAATCGCGTGGGGTGCGGCGAAACTAGAGGAGAGCACAGCTATCGATCGATAGCGACGCCTGTGCAGTGAGCGAGCCCGTGTGCCATGCCACGATCGACGACCGTAGAGCCCAGGGGAAACAATCGCGTCGTCTCTTTGACATAGCTCTCGCGCTACGAGAGACGACGCGCGAGAACGGCGGAGCGTTGACAGTGGTTGTTGTTGTTCCCTTTCACGTGCTCTCCGTGCACCGGCGATCTCCGTGAGCAACCGTGTATGTCCCTCGCGTTCCTGGCGCGAAGGGGACATCGCATCTCCACCGAACTTCGGCTTGCGAGCCACGCAGCCCGGCTGACAGACACGCCGTTCGCGACGCGACGGCGGCATCCTCGGCGCGGCGATAAACGTCGTCATGTGGCTGACAGTGCGAGATACATTAGGTGCGCCGAGAGAGTGGTGAATATTCGTGCGTATTTATAGAACCGCGCCGGTTCTTCGCTCCGTTTTATCGGGGGTCTCCCATCGCCCGACGACGACGACGACGGGTTCGCTTTAATAATCGCGACGAGAATTAACCCCCGAAAAACAAAGCGCGATTCTAACGCAGTTGATATAAATTGCTGAACACATATATATTGTCTGCAGTCCCGCTTAATTAGCGCAACTACGTAACGCGTAGTTACGCGTAGTTGCGCTACCATAACAGTTAGTTTATGATTATGCCTAGTCTGCAGGAAACCACCGTGGAGGCAAGTCAAGTGGAGTATAATTACCTGCATATTTCTATTAATGAGGACAGGCTCGCAAAAAAATTATCGCGTAATGGAGAAATTGATTTTAAAATAGAAAATTTTTAAAAATAAATAGTTTTTAAAAAGCGTAAAATAACTCAGTATTAAATCGGGAAATATCAAGGAATGTGTGTATTTCGTTTTTAATATCTCTCACATTTGATGGAAAGTATATTATTTGACCACTGGTGCAAATATGAATAGTTCAAATAGTCATCATGATGAAAAGTTATTTCTTTCTCGTTCGTCAGAAATGACATTTTTTCCATAATTTTTTTTAAGTACGAAAACATCGAATAATTTAAAATTTTCAAGTTTGCATATAGCGCGTTCCAGTATGCTCCTTCATACATTATTCTTTTCTATACACAGTAGAACATTTCCATAGAACATTTCTAATAAGCATCGAAGGCTAGTAACTTTCTAAGTATCCTCAATCAAAGTTGATTCGAGAGAGATTCGCTGATAGAAATCATATGATAATTTATTCGATTTTCGCTGAGTGTCACGCGTGACACACTAAATGACCGCGAAAGTCGATATCTGATGGCTGATGAAGGCGCAGGTTCAAATATCAATCTTGAGAAAAGTTCTTGAACCTTGACTTCAAGAGAATACATAATTATCGATTACGTAGCTACATATGTTGATGCCTATATACATCAGTTGTAATACGATACTTAATTCTTAGCTAGCTCCGCGACTCAGAAATTGTTCTTTTCTATAATATAGAAAGGAGAGGAAAAAAGTTCACCCAGGTTATAGTTAATCGATTATGAGATAAAGATAGAAATAGATAGGCAGAGAAAGTGGGAGAAAGAGGGAGAGGAGAGAAGAATGATATAATAGTAAAATTCATACGTATGTTTACCATCAAGTTAAATGTTGACAATAAATCACAGAAAAAGGAGCATCGAGCCGCAACAAGGTGGAAGTGTTGTAAAATTTTAAATGAAGAAAACAAATTGACAAACGTTTCGGCCCCTTATGGGACCATCTTCAGTGTCAAATAACAATTAAGTCCAAATTTTGAAAAAGTTACACGTTACATACTCTTACACTAAAATTAACGCAACTAAATTGCGTTATTTGGACTTAATTGTTATTTGACACTGAAGATGGTCCCATAAGGGGCCGAAACGTTTGTCAATTTGTTTCCTTTATTAATATATAGAATTTTACAACACTTCCACTTTGTTGCGGCTCGATGCTCCTTTTTCTGTAATTTATTTTTAATCTTGTGAGTCTTTTTGATATATATTAAATATTGACAATTTTTAGAATTTTCTTGATATTCTTATGAAAAATTGAATTTAACGGCAGAGTCTTTAAAACATTTGTTGATTGGCAAAAAATTTACAAAAAATTCTGAGAAAAAGTCGTTATCTGTTGCACTTTTTCAAAATTATACATTAGATATTTTAATAAGTACAACTCAAATATCATTTTAAGAAAAATGAAGTCTATTCAATTTTACGTAATTAATAGACTTATTTCAATTGCACACGCGTGAAAGGTATACACGTAGAAAATAGAACGTTTTGCAACCAATGCACTTGAAAATTACTTATATATATTATATTTTAGATTTTGTTTAAAAAAATAAAAATTGAGATATATCGATACTTTTATTAGGTAATATTATGGTTTTAAAAAAAATTACTTAGTATAGATGTAAAGTATGCTTTCGCTTCCTTATAACATCGCGAGACGGAGTATACTTCACCACGCCTACGTAGTGACGGCGTTGCAAGCCGTTTAGCACCTTACCTGCACATTCCAGCTCTACAGATTAGATCAAGGACTCGTGATTAGATAATAGTTTCTCCATCTCTGCATTAATCCGCTACATGTGTGGTATCATATGTAATCCATAATATCTATTAACAGTCTCACCATAATTATCTTTCCAGCTAAAAATAAATTTACTTTTATATACTGCATATTTCATTAAAATAAAGCTATAATAATAGTATGCTGGCGTTCTACAAAAACTACATATTTCTAGCTGACACCTCTGTCTGGTCACTGCATATCAAATTATGACGTGGAAGCGAGAAACTGTGATTTCTATTTATAGTATATTTATATCGAAATTAATAATTTTATCGCACGTTTATTATATATCAAATCTAATTGATAAAAAAACTTGCAATATATATATGTGCCAATTTCCTTTTCAGCTTCTGACTTAATGAATGCTGCAATTAAGCAACACGATATAATTAGGTCAATTTTTATTGAGTATATGTACGCGAATTAAATTACACGGCCATTTATTGATGAACGAATATTTAAAAAAGGAGTCTTTGGTATATTTAATCTATTCTATCATATGAGAAAAGAAATCATTGTTCTCATTTGTACATGATATTAGAAAACGATTAATTAGGGTTTCTTCCTTCTAACGTTCTAATCAAACATGGCCGCCATAACAGAACGGAAGCCTTAAGTAACTTCTTGGAAAGGTTTCTGATTAAAAATTAATTTTTTCACATCCTGATTTTATCGTCTTTATCTCTAAGTTGTCGTCTGTGTATCATATATAGTTGTTACTCTGGAAACCGCGAAGAAGCGTCGGACGTTCGGCATGACGTAAAAGCTAGCTGCAGTTACGGCGGAAGAAATTGAAACGGTTGAAGCGCCGTGCGACAGAAAGGAAGACAAATAGATAGATAGAAAAAAAACGGACAAAGTGCAAAAATGTCCGAAAATGAAACGAAGTCGGCTTCGCCGATACCCGCGGTTATGTGCGCGCAATGCTGCAGCAACGACGACGGTGGTGACAATGACAGTGGCGGCGGGGGCGGCGGTGGAGGTGGCGATGGCAGTCAGACGACCATGCAATGCCCGGCTCTACAGGTCACCTCGCGGATGCTGCGCTCGCCGAGTCACGAGAGCGTCACCACCGATCTGTCGCTCTTCAGCGTGTCGTCGATCGCCAGCGATCTGCGCAGCGCCAACAGGTTGGTCACCTTCAAGTCCTACAGCGACGCGCAGCTCACCGGACGGGGGCCCTCGCCGAAACCGGACTCCCGACAGATTCAGGGCAACAGGTTCGTAGTACAATCGCTACCGTGCACGATGAAGAGATATGACTACTTCACATCGACTAATTACTTATTTATTACGTGCATTTCGCGCTAGGCCGGCGGACATTCCCGAGATTTTATGGTTCGAGGAGGAGAACGAACTGATCCGCAGTTGCGGTGTTCTATCGTCAGCATTGGGATTGCGTAAGAGCTTCAGCACAAGCGATGTATCGCAGCTTCCCAGCCCAGACGCGGCTGGGGCCGGTGGCCTACGAACGGCGGTATCCGCGCTGGCCCTCGACACTGCCCAGCGAAACACCCTGTTGCTGGAGCACGCCAGGCTCGATCACGCTTCGAGGTCCTGCAGCACCTGGGTCGCCGTAGGCGAGCCCGTGGCCAGCACGTCCCAACTTCCCAGCCCGCATGGAGGAGCCGCGCAGGAGCAACAGCCTCAGCAACAACAGCAAGCGCAGCAATCTTCTTCAAACGCTCAATCGGTGCCGCAGCTACCACCGCAACCACCGGCACCGCCGCCACCACCACCCGTGCCCTTCACTGGAGCGGATCTCGTCAGGTCCGTCAATAAGAAAGTCCGACAGAATTACATACGACGAAGGTTAGTAGACTCGAAGTCTTTCTTCTTTGCTCTGCCTATGTTCAAAATACGTGGACTTTTCAGATACAATTTTTTTGGAACGAGGAAAAAATAGGACGTTTGTATTTGTCTTTGTCTTTTGTTAGCTGCATAAAATGGAAATATATAATAAATTTTAATTCTTTTATCTAGAATAAGCTATATCCCAGGTAGCACCTATGCGTTTCAAAAACGTTTTACAAATGTTTCTTCGAAACGTTTCATAACGGTCTCAAATGTGAAATTTGACCAGAGACAGTACATAAAGTCTTAGGGCAAAAATTTGTCACTCGCTGTTCTATACATCATTGCAAGCCACATAAAAAATAAATAAATAAATGAATAATAAATATTGAAGTGAAATGAACTTTTAGTGAAGTAAATTAATTATTTAGTCGAAGAGCTGACGACACTTTTGGCCAAGTGATTTTGTAAAATATCCTGAGTGACCAATTAATTATTATCAATATCCGATAAAAATTGAGACTTATACCATGACTTGAAAATCTGTTTTTTTTTCTCACTTGCGTACTTCTAAACCCCCCAGGTACGGCCAGCCAGGTGTTCGGATTATCGAAAGAGAGTTGTCCACGCAGGTTAAAACGGAAAATTGTATTTTACAAAATCACTTGGCCAAAAGTGTCGTCAGCTCTTCGACAAAATAATTAGTTTACTTCACTTAAAAGTTAATTTCATTTGAATATTTATTATTCATTTATTTATTTATTTTTTATGTGGCTTGCAATGATGTATAGAACAGCGAGTGACAAATTTTTGCCGTAAGACTTTATGTACTGTCTCTGGTCAAATTTCACATTTGAGAATCTATTATAGATTCTCCGAACCCGAAAATAAACGTTTACTTTAACGTTTTTTCAAGTGGACATTTTAACCGTTATGAAACGTTTCGAAGAAACATTTGTAAAACGTTTTTGAAACGCATAGGTGCTACCTGGGATACTTTGATCATTCTTACCAAGTGTAAAAAAAAAATATGCATAAGTGTCTTTCCCCAATTTTAATGATTTTCCGATACTTTATAATATAAATAAAAAAATAAGAAATAATGCATCTTTCTGAGACATTTTTCCACCAGAGTGAGAACGGTCTCTTAAAAAAAAAAAACTTATCTAAATTTCATCGAAATTGGGGTACTTACGTATGTTGTAATCTAAGTGGGCTCAAAACGCATTTTGAAGTTATTAAGTCTCGCCGTTATAAGTTTCAGTATAAAAAAGGCAGGACTAGAGTGTCTCATTCATGTTTCATTAGGCTACTGACCACGTATCGCGCTTTGGAGCGCCTCTCGCAGAGTGAATTTAATCTAGACCAGCTAGAAGCGGCGGCTACCGCGGCGCAGAGCTCTCACGGAACCACTTTGCTGGTGCCCGGAACGACCGGCGGAGTTCCTGGTGCTTCCTTGATCGGGCGGAAGGAGCGAAATCACGCGTTGACGGTACGGGACGTCGAGAGGGAACGTGGGAATCAGCTGTCCAAGTATGAGAGGAACATGATGATCTTTAATTGGCTCCACACCTTGGACGACAGCGCGGTCGTAGACAGCGTCGAATAAGGGACAAGGAGACCTCTCCAGCATCTCCCCAGCAGTTCCGACAACGTGCGACCTACCGTGCCTAAGTCTCTTCCTCCTCGATATTACTTTATCGAAGACGCTTCGTTGATACCATATTGTCGCATTTCGAAGAACACCGCTAATATGTAAGACTTCTGATCTTGTTGTTAGCTATATTGAATTATGACATCTAAAGCGAAGAATTATATGAATCTTTCTCTTACACTGTTCACCGAAATAAATAAGTTTTTTTTTTCAAATGCTCCACACTCTCATTTGGTAAAACAAAACAAAATAATGCATAAAATGCATTTCCCTCTTAGTCCTTCTTCATTAATTCTCGTCTAGTGGATGCCGAGTTTATTCAGATCAATCTCTGCTGAATCATCAAAGATGTCTTTTACCCTTTATTTATTTTACCCTTCCCTCATGTTTAGATATCATGGGATGCATTTTAGACAGTCAGCAGAAAGATGAGTTGATATTCAACAGAGATAAGATACGTATTTGTCAGGCGAGAATTAATAAATAATTATGTAATTCAAGTTAAATGTACTCTCTATGTTTAAAAAAAAATAAGCCTCATAATTAAGATTATTAGGATTTACAGTTATCTTATGAATTGAAAAAAGAATTCGGTATAAACGTATTTTATCATCTTATAAACTTATTTTGTTGAATACAAATAATAGCATGTGTAAAAAGACTAATTTATTCTAATGTACATTGCGAGAATAAATCGCTACAATGAATGTGATGTATAGTATGATTTCATAAGCGTGGTCTATCGCGTGTGATGTCATAATCCAATATGGCTGCTATAATGAGCCAGGAGCTATAAGCTAAAGTAACTATCGCAAAAACATCCGTCCCTCCTCGTCCAGCGATTGGTGTCGCTTAACGAGTGTATCCGAAGCATTTCGTGTAAAGCGAAATCCCGTTCTATTGGCTACATATACAAAGGACTTATACGGGCGTTATAGCGATTTCGGTTGCTTAATTACTCCACACTGATGCGCACTAAAGGCATGTAATTATCTGACAAAGAAACATATATAAATATGTAACAATATAAATCAAAATATAAAAGACACGTATTCTTTTACAGGTGCGTTAAAGAGAAACATCCCCTTGAAAATGATCGACTTTTATGTTTATAAGCGTATATTGCTGAAACAGTAAATATGGAAAAACATTTTAAACAAAAGTTTTGTTTAAAACAAAAGTTCTGTTTTAAACAAAAGTTTTGTAGTTTTGAAAGCACACTATTTAAATATTTCAAATTTTTCGATAAAATGTAATATCTCTCGAAATATCCCACCGCCCATTATCGTTTTTGAGAATTCAACTCATTTTTATGACAAAATTAGAGCTTATTTAAAGATAAATTCAACAATACGTAAAAAATTCTAAAATTCTCAGAAACGATAGTGAGTGGCGAGACACTTGCACGTGTTTCTTTTTAAGTGTAAAAATATACGTATTTTAACTGATAAAATATCCAATGTATTATTATATTATTTAGAAGAACATATGTTGACTATTTCACGGTTAACATACTTATACTCTGCTGCTGTTGCAGAGTATATGTCGAATAAAATAGTCTTTATACGCATTAGTGTGGAATATTGAAGGCAACTAAATTGGTTATTAGAAACAAATTGAGGAATCGACTTGGAAATATCTCTAAGTGTAGTACGAGGAGTATACACTAGTACGTGTATACTTTTGGCATTCTAGTGATCAGCTGATTATAGAAATCTTTTATCTATAATATTTTATCCAAATAATTTATTGCTTAAATTAAGGAAATAACTTTTGAGATTAGAAATATTTCTACGATCTAATGATAACAACATGATCACAACGTTTCTGTGCGAGATTTCATGGAACTTTTTCGTAGAAACTTTCCTACAAGTCAGTATTCGTAAATTCAGTTTGCCAAGAGATTTAATAGGATGGATTTAGAGGCTGATTTTAATAAGCCGTAATTTAACAATTCAGTAATTCCGTAGCGAGCGTTTATATTGAAGGAAACCAATATATAAACTGAGAGAGTATACATCTTGCGTTAAGTACTTAGACACATATCGATAAGAAGTTTTTAATCAGCGGAGAGTATTCGAGAGGTACCAAGCTGTTGCTGGAACGACGAAATTTTAACAATAATTGTAGACTAAGAACCATACCGTTTTGCATTTCGAATTTGCAGTTAGCATGGATAATATCCGAAATCGAAAAGGATACCGTGTGTAAAGATTTAACGATGCGACACGCAATCCAAGGAAGCTATCTACTTGAGATATGAAGGATGATACGCGCGATTTAGCGTACTAGGACTTTTGTGATTGTACACCCGGTATGAAGACTAGTCGTTTGAAATTCCGTTTATTTTGAACGGTTATATGAAGAACTTGTTGGTGCCGGTGATAAATTTACTCAGAGTACATGCTAAAAGTATTTAATTCTATGAGTGTGTTCCTTATGAAAGTCTTAATTATCCAGTGTAAGCAGAAAATCCGGAACTATTGTACTTCCTGTCATGACTAATTAACGACAGATCACATCAGTATTATGCGCCGCAGCCCAGGGTGATACTAAAGTGTTTTTGGAATAGTAAATGGATGTGTGATCACTCACGCGCGCACGCGCGCGCGCACACACACACACACACACACACACACACACAATTAATGTGCTTTTATGTATATTAAATGTTTCCCCCCTTCCATATGTAATATCCGCTAACATCGCGATATTATCTGGTGCAGAACGTAATGGAGCAAATATAAGATTTATTAAGTATTCCATATCTATATATGCACAGACTTTGTTTTTGTAATTAAAGATAAGAAATATGAAAGTAAGAAGAAAGGTAAGGAAATTGCGACTGCCGGAGCCGGATCCTTCTTATTGATAATAGATATAAGAAAAGAAGAGAAGAACCCGAGCTTTGCAACCTTGTGCAATAATTTTTTTACCGAATGCCTAGAATGTGAAAAATTTATATTACTGGCAATATTTACGTTACAATCAATTTAAATGTTAATTTTAGAGTATATTAGAACAGGAAAAGTTGTATCTTAATTTTTTAAAAATTGAATTTTTAACATAAATCCAATTACTATTATAATAAATAAAAAATTAAACAATCCACTATATATATATATATATATATATAATTAAAAAGAACAAAGTGGAAACTCGTTTTTCTTTTGGGCCACATTCATTTTTATTAGTAGGAGATAGAGATAGCTACAAAGATGATCGATTATAGGCGAAATTTGAACAGTGAGTTTCAATGAAATATGCTTTTAATAGTATAATAAAAAAACTAGCAACAAAACAAAATAATTTATATAAATTTATTTAAAGCTTAATTATTCTTAAACTTAATAAGTTCTCAAGCTTTTAATATATTGTTTAAGTAGACGTAATTTTTTTACATTGTAGTTTATTTTCAACGATATATTCAACTTAATTCAAAACGGAATTCTGTTTATAATTTTACATATTCCCCATAATATAAAAAACTTTTGAAAAATTACATATATAGAAAATATACGTATCAAAATGCACGCGCACACACACATACACACACACACATAAAAAAGTATAGCAAATAAAATTAATTATAGCATTCTGAATTCTAATACAAATTATACATTATTTATATATCATGAGCTTGAAAGTATGCTCTTATTGAATGCAATCAAAATTCTTGAATATATATAGCGTTAAATATCCCTTAAAAAAATACTCGTGTCTAAATCAGAAATGTGATTCATATATGTGATAAATATATTGAAAAGCAGAAATAATAATTTCTGAAAATTTATATATATATATATTAATATATTTTTTTTATAAAAAGGATAATCTTATTTTACATTTGAATAAGTGCCTGAATTTTTACTTCTCAAGAAGATATCCTTTTTTAGATTATTTCTAATTTATATCATTTTACTTTTATTTACAACCTTTTTTGATTTAAAATAATCTGAGAAATAAATCTGAAATAAAATTTCTCTCTATGCAGATGCAAACGCATGCGTAACCGTGTGAATAATATTGCTCTTTAGCTATTTAAACGCAAGTTTCTTTTTTAAGGTACTAACCCAATTTAACAAATTTTAAAGTAATTGGATAAGAAAATATTTCACTCGTGAAATCACTTTAATGGACAAGTGGAATTATAAAAAGATTAGTGATACAGTTAATAATCAAGGATTACAATAAGATCCAACTAAGAAGTACACTTTAGAGCAGACCTTGCCTTTTGAGATCTTCATACGTTTTACGATTTACTACATTGCCAAGCGAATCTTCGAATTCCTCTTCCTGCTCTGGTTGCCAACGTTCGGCTTGTTTCTGCGCCTTGAGTTTTTCCCACAGAGCAAGAGCGTCTTCGATCTGAGTGACATTAGCAAAGTGCGCTGTATTCGGTATGCCAAGACAACGCATGCCGTGCGCGTGCCTCCATTCCGCGAAGTGTCTCTGGAATGCTTTCGGGCCTTTATAAGTAAAGTTTCCACAAATCTCGCAGTTGTAACTGATATTTAAACCGTGCAGCTTGTACAACCAGTAAGGTATGGGCTTTCCGTCCCAGCCCAAAGGTAAATTCTTCGGATTATACGGGACCTCATTATCGTCCTCTTCTTCCGATTCGCTCGCGCTTGCTTCTGCATCAGAGTCTCCCCTTTCACCCTCGGTTCTCGCCTGTTTCCTCTGTACGTTTTCCTTCGTAGCCAGTCGTTGACTAGACACTAATTCAGCGAGCTTGTATACGTGAGCTTCGAGTCGTGCAATCTCCTTTTGCTTCTCGGAATCCTTGCTCTTAGCTGACTTCCCCTTTCGATTCTTGGCTAATAGGTTGGGATCTAGGGAAGCTTCACCTTTTGTACTGAAAAGTCTTTGCGCTCGTTCCTCGAGAGTACCTCCGCACTTGAGGCCTAATGCCATCAAAGCCGATTTTAATCTGTCTAAACCGAGAGACGCTAATTCTTCCCACGACGAGAACGCAGACAGCTCCAAATGTGCCCCTACGTGAGTCAGAGCGCTTCCAGTTTCTTTAGGCCAACCAGGGAAGGTATTTTTCTCCCACTGAGCTTGAAAATCCTTGTTGGCTTCTTCAACCTCTGTGCTTATATCGAGCAGAGGCCTCATTCTGTTCAGATATTCTGTTAGATACCCTAAAAGGGACTCGACATACCTCTGATACTCTGCGTTCTTTCTCTCTCTAGGAATGTCGAATAAGTGATCAAAAGTCGACAGGTAAGTTATATAATCTATCTTCTCTATCCCTTTAAGATTGATGAATTTTTGATAACACTCGTGAAGATCCAGGTATTTTCCATAACCCTCCTCATCTGTGAACTCGACGAGATTGGACAGTTCTTCGGTCGGATTTTCTCTCATCTTGGCCAACTCCTCAAATTCGACGGACATGGGAACGCTGATCTCGTTAGGATGTCGGCGATAGAATTCTTTTATAGACTTTAAACGCGAATAAAATTCTGAGAATTCATTTGGGCCAGAAAGTGCTTGAACCTGCAAACGATAAACCATGAGATAGAACATATGAAACTCATGAAATGTTAGAAAGGTTAGAATCATTAAAGACATTGTTTTTAATTTATACCTAAAATCTTATATTAACATACCTCTTCTTTTCTCTGTCCGTCCTTGTCCTCATACAAATCCTGCAAATGCATCGTACTGTCCATGAACTGATCCAGCAACATTTTCAAGCGATGCTCCGAATTGATGGTCTCGCGATGTCCCGCTTTTTTGTGCAACATCTCCTTCACCATCGCATCCATCAGCCGCTCCCTTTCTTCGTGATAACGTCGTTGTTGTTCCAATATTGTCTCCATCTCTGGTTTTAAACTCAATTTACTTTGATATATCAACTCAACTCAAAAACACGCTAAGTCAAGACTTCTTCTTTCAACAATAAAGGCCCCCTAACCCCCTAACGTCAGTGCTGCGATTTCGAGCTCGCGGCGCGCACGTCGCAGTCGCGCAGTCGCCGCACGCCAGCGGATTTCCCTCTCCACTACGCATACAGGGCTGCGTTCAAAAACTTCACTCGGGTGCACACCAGTGTCATTCTGTCCTTTTTCAATTTTTAGTACCTAACAAAGATAGAACGACGCGATGTGCACTCGAGTAAAGTTTTCGAACGCACCCCAGCGCCAGAGAATATCACTCGCTCCTTGTCGCTCTCACTTAGCTCGCGCGATACGAGACGATAAATGCATGACAATTTTACTAATACGTTTACGCGAGCGTTACTTCTGTAGTACTTACGATAATTCCTTCGCGTAAACAAGATTTTTTTTCGCGCGTAAACGGGATTTTGTAGTAACTTACGATAACTTACTCCGCGTAAACGATCGAGTGAATTATCATAACATAAAGTTTATATTACAGAAGTAACGCTCGCGTAAACGTAGTAATTGTCATTTTTTATTAATTTTGTAATGCTTTATTTTTCATTCTAATACACCTATTCTGTAAATGTTAACGACATCATTTCGTGCTTTGCAGGTATGTAACATTGTAGCAAAGCACGTAAAATATCGTTAGTGTGTACTGACACGTATTATGGAACTTTTCGGAATGGATTCCTGTCAAAATTACGCACTGTTTTCCCTAAAAACATAATAGAAATGCATCAGAAAATAATAATTCCGATCGGAATTTATTTCAAAAAGTTTCCTGAGAGAGGCCTGAGAGAGGCTCCTAAAGCGGCCCGTATCAGACTACGGATTGGGATTGAGATTGGATTGAAATTTAAATCAATCAGAACAGAGAAAACTGATCTCAAGTTTAGTAAACTATGTTCTGATTGGTCAAATTTCAATCCAATCTCAATCCCAATTCGTAGTCTGATACGGGCATAGGCTCGCTATTTTACCGCTCGTGATTGGTTCCGCCATGGTGTTGCACATCCAATGAAAGTAAGGACCAGTCTGTCCAGACTCTTATAAAAAGGACTCTAGGGATAGAATATAAGTGAATAGTGCACTCCCTGGGCTGCGTTTCGAAAACTTTATTCGAGTGCGCACACCGCGTCATTATATTTTTGTTATTTACTAAAAGTTGAACAAGGACAGAACGACGCTGGTGTGCACCCAAGTAAAGTTTTCGAACGCAACCCTGAATGCAGCCCCGGTCATTAAAAAAAAAAAAAAAGAATATATCTTTTGGAGAAACGTTTTCATTGGTTACCTTTCACAGTACTTCATTTCCGATTCGTTTCTCCCTCGACAACCGTGGGATTCAACCCTAATTATTAAACTTTCCGCCACGTGTTCTCGTAACTTACACTTACACGTGCTACTTCTTCACCTGCTTCACCAGTCTTCCACTAGCTGCCGAGCTGCACTCGTGTTTGTGGTATATTTCGATCGCTCGTCGACGAAGATATCTTAATTATATTATTATAATCAAGGAGGATATTCTATATAAATATAGAAATTAAAACAAGGTACATATTTATTTTTAAATTAAGTTATACTACAAGAAAGTGTCATATACCCCAGTAAAACAGTACGTGGATCTACGTTATTGCTACGTGGATTCGACGTGAATTCGACGAAATTACACGTGATTCGACGTGGATGTGACGTTCCTGTTTTACTGAGGTATTGAATGGGTATTTTGAATTTTATCATTTAGATTTTTAAATACAGTGTGTTCGTCGTAAATCGCATTATATTTCCGCGTTGTGTGTGAATTAAACATTAAACCATTAGAATTGGAATAGTAGATATTAATATCGGATTTCAATTTTGAGATTTTAAAACCAGCCAATATAAAATAATTGTACAACATTTTACTTAAAATAATCCTAAGTTAACGCAGCTAGCACACACGTGTGCTACGATTTTTCATAATTCGCATGCGATCTAATAAATTGCTGGCAATGCATCATATAGTACGTAAAATTTATAATAATTTAATTACTATATCCATATGAGTTTGCACGAAAAATTGCAAAAAATAACATAAAATAAATTAATATCGAAACCAAGGCCATAACAGTTTTTAAATAATTTTAAAGAAATATTTAAACTGGACCATTCAAATTGGCTGAAATTAGCATGCTTAGATCACCGAGATATAAATTTAATGTACATATTAATTTTAGTGTGTGCATTATTACTGCCATATATAAGCTACGTATATATAGGCCTGCTGTTCTTTCAGCTGAACTTGCACGCACAGTTCATATCTTCTTCTTTTTCTTTCCAACGTGAAAAGAAAGAGAGGAAAGATGAATCGTGCAAGAAGTTTAGCTTAAAAGAAGCCTTTTGTAATACTCCATTGAGATGGAACATTATAGAAAAGTATGGAACAGGCATTGCGAAATGCGACGCAGTATAATATTGTACATACATGTATGCAGTAGGGATCGTCATGACCGCCGCCATTTTCTCTGTAGGATAGGGGGTTATAAGAGAGAAAGAGAGAGAAGTATTTTTCTCTTTGGGCCTATAAGCAGAATAGCTGTCTTGGCAGTGTTTTATGCCTTTAAGTCTTAGGCGGTCTTAGGGCCTAAGCAGAATAGCTGTCTTGGCAGTGTTTTATGTCTTAAGTCTTTGTCTTATGTAACGCACAATACTGTACGCCATTCTGCTTAGCTTAGGCCCTTTGTCATACATACAAGCCGCCATATTCTCTATATATAGTCTCTGATGTAGGATATACCAATCATGTGCACTGGAAATTGACGACCACTAAAAAAGTTCAGTGTTTCTACTGTATTGTAAGGCCATTGCACATAACAAAGTTAGTTTTAATCGTAAGGCCGTAAGAAAATAGACCAATCACACTTGATTATTTTTCAAGCGCGAGGAGAATAATCGACTGTGCTTGGTTTATTTTTTTACAGCCTTAAGATTATGACTAAAACTTTATTACGTGCAATGGCTTTTATTATACTGTGATTATGCGTTGTATATTTTTGACTAACATATATATTTTTTAATTCATCAAGTTATTGTAATCACTCATATTTAATTATTCATTTTATAATAATTATTTATATTTCAGTTAAAAGAACAGAGCTAATTTCAATGTCCTATTAATTAAGATTACTATCTAAAATTAGTATAAATTTTATTATAATACACACAAAATCATCTTTACTTTCTAATAAATATAAAAACATAAAATTCACTCGTTACTAATTTTAAGAATTATTGTTCATTATTGTTAAATGCCATTTTTTAAATATTTTGATTATACTATACGTGCTAATTATTGTTTGGCTTACAAATAGCGTTTGTATGATACAAATAAAAATAATGTTACTTTCAGTTTGTTAGCATGCTGACAGCATAAAAGCAAGCAAGAACTCACAATTAGATATACATTTTACAGTATATATATATAATTGTAATAAATATATTATATTACAATATAGCATTTTAACATACCTATGCTAAGAACAACTCAAGATTATTACACTCCGTATCTTTAATTTTTTTTTAGATGGAGAATTTGGCATCCTATCATTCGATCGATAAAGTAGTAGCAGGTGAGGATCGTGTTAACTTTATCTATCAATATGTAAAGGATAGCGATGGCTGGGTTAAAGAGTATAACTATATGAATACTCCGAGCATAATGAAAACTTATGAAAGGATAATCGGACCACCTATCAATTTTCCTAATTATGGAGATTTTTTAAGTACATTTGTCATGGTATGTATATTTCTTGATATCTGTTATGCTTTTTAACCCGTTGAGGTCACATGGGGCCCAGTGGACCCCAGGCTTTTTTTTTTCTTAAAAGTATACTAATTTGAGAGTAAAACGCACAAAATTTTTTTGCTTTATCTTAAAAAATTTTGATGAATATTTTTGTGAAAAAAGTCAAATTTCTCGAAAAAAAATTTTTTTCTCGCGTTTTTTCAACATAAAATTTTTTTTTAAATTATTGGATTATCAAGAAGAAATCATAAATTAATTCCAGTTCAAGGTTTGAGTTGCTACATCAAAAAGAACGCAAATGGAAACTGTTGTGGGGTCCATTGGACCTCTACGTTATTTTTAGGAGATGTGACCTCAACGGGTTAAAAAGTAATTATAATCTATAATTTTATACTACAATATTTTCTTGATCTTTTAATATAGAGAACCAATGGTTTCGACATCTCGACATCTCCATGGCAGTCGAAACCTATAACAAGTTCATATGACAATCCACCACCGCCACCATCACCACCACCACCATCACTACCACAAGATGATAGCCACATGTATTGTAATTATCTTGGTATGTCACATTTATAATTGATAAATAAGATATTGTTAAAGAAGATACATTTATGTTTAAGAAAGATTATAATTAATTTTCTATTTTGAAGATCTCGAGTTTCATGAAGCCGTATATCCAGTCAGAGTCTCTATATATGAAGTATATAATCCTGGGTATGTAACCAAAATTTGGGCTCAAGGTAAACAACAGTATCCAGATGACATAACTCTCACTAAGAAGAAAGAGTGGGAGAACAATCAATGGTTTCTATTATGGAGTGGACCACCTCAGAATGCAGTTCCTTTGACATCGCGGATATTTTCGCCGCCTTTAAAGTTCTGTGACTTTAAAACGAAAATACTCAGACTACAATTTATGTACAGCCACTGGGACTATTCCACACACCTAGATGCTGTGGAGCTAATTGGCACATCAGAATTAGTCCTACCTAAAAGTCCTATACTGAATTTGACTAATCTGTTAAAAAGTATTAATTGCAAGTATCCTTGCCATGGGGACAGCCATAATTTAACACCTGGATATAGTCATGATCATGATGCTGCACACTTGGATATAATTCATCTGCAAAAAAATTTCTCAAAATATTGCGTTATTTGTAAAAGGTATAATAATTATCATAATATTTAATTTTTTTTTATTATTCTTTTAATAATAAAAATAATTTTTTTTAATATGTTATTTGCAGCAATACAGCAAAGAGTTTTAACAAGAGCAAGTTCGGGCACAAGCAAATGTCACAGGAAATAGATGTAGTGGCATGTTCTGAGCAGATATATAGGAATCCATTTATTAAGAGAGGCATTTTAAGGAACCATTTCTTACGACATCATACAAATTATGCAAAGTTAATAAAAGATATCGAACTCTATTCGAATGAATCCAAAGAACAATCATGTAGCAGTTTTTCTACGCTTTCTGTAAGTATTCGAAGAAATCTATTTCTCGTAAGTCGTACCAATATTTATTACAATATAATTTCATGTATTAATTTTTTTTTATCTTTACAGGATGAAATAGTACTAATAATATTAAAAAACTTGGATATAAGGTCGTTGTGCCGTTTGAGCCAAATAAATAAACGCTTCAATATTTTAACACGAGATCCTCTTCTCTTTAAATGTTTAAATTTACGAAATTTGCGCTATACGAATTCTATTTGTATTCACAATGTTTTATTTTACTTTGCATTTAGATGTAAATATTTACAACAATTAGATCTTACATCAAGCAACATTTCTGTTAAGCACTTCAAAAAATTTGTCAACATTTGTGGCAAGGGTTTAACGCACTTACGATTAAGTAACTGCCAATTTGTTAACAACTCGGTTCTTTTAAAAATTTCCATAACATGCAAAATGTTGAAAGGTATGTACATAAATAAATATAATATTTAAGATTACAGGTAAATTGTGTATGATTAATACATATATTTTTTTTTTTAGTATTGGATCTCAGTTTTTCTGATCATTCAAAATACCAACCATTAGAATTTTTGTGTCTCGAAAATCTAGAATTTTTAGAGGGTTTAAACCTTAGAGGGATAGATATAGCAACTGAAACTCTTTGCAAAATATTGCAAAAAAATCGCCGGATGCGTAACTTAAATTTGAGCACATTTAGCGGCCGATCACCATCAACGTCTTACGAAGATCGAGATGCAGTTGCAATACAATTGGGAAATTCGTGTCCAGACTTGGAAATAATAGATTTAACGGGCTGTGGTATTACCTCGCGAGGTATTAAGGCCTTCGCTGAGTGCAAGAATTTACGAAAACTGAACATTTCATACACGTACGTGTGAGTTACATTTTCTTTTAAATATATTATATGTTTACATCTCTTGCAAACATCATAAAACATTGTTATTTTTTCCTTTGCGGAAACCATAATAATAGAGTATGGCTTTTGTTACAGTAATTATTTTGGCGGAACCGATCAGCTTAGTTTACGTAGATTGTTTTCCTCTTGTCAACTCCTGGAAGAAGTCAATTTGTTGGGTCTTAATGGCAACTTCGGCGAACCACTGATGCTGTGTAAAAACTTAAAACACTTATACTTGGATGTACCTACCGAGGACGCCAATAACTTCGCAATTTTCGAGCAATGTCCTAAATTGCAAACGATCTTCTTTTCGGACAATGGCCCTTTCATTGCCCAGGCAAAAGAAAAATACCCACATTGGATATGGACTTGATGGACTGGTGGGATCCAAGGCGTGTTTAAAACTCGCGCCCTTTTTGAACGCGCAATGGTGGGGACTCCAGAAGATAATAATTGTTTAAGTTACTGTTACATTTAAAAATATTTAAAAACAGAGAAAGATGCATAAAATAAAAATGTTAAATGACGCGCATATATATATATATATATATATATATATATATATATATATATATATATATCAATGTATGTATGCATAAAGATTGTGACATATTTTAAAATTGCTATTAAAATCTAATAAAGTGTTATTTTAATATAAATATAATTTATGTAAATTATTATTTAATTAACAGCATTTGATACATTAAGTTTTATACATTTAGTTTTATACATTAAGAGAGAACATAATTAAAATTTTTTATCTACAAATATATAATAAAATTAAATAACATTTAATGAAATTTAATTTATGATATTACACTATAACAGTCTAAAAAAAATTTTGCAAAATACGATAGAAAAGTAGTATATATTGCATGTGTAAAAGGATTAAGTGACGTAAATAAAAATTCAGTGAATATAGAAAAGTAATAATAATGTTTTATTCTAATCCCCAAAATAAGGAAATATGGTAGTGGTGCTTTTATTTAAAAAAAAGGTCAATAAAAAGTTGGTCAACGCTTAGCCATCCATTATACTTAAAAGTACATATGGCAATTGTATATTACGTAAATATTGTAAATATTGGAATTAACAATGCAGAGAAAATTAGCGTACGTGACTGGAAAGAAGGTGATAAAGTGCGACTAGGCCTACAAAAATGAAATTAGCGGTGACCGCGAAAGAGTCATTCGAGCACTCCTCGACGTGACTGAAAAGCTCTTTATAGGCAAGCACTGTCTTCTTCATCGACGATGAGGAAATCAAACCCGACGAGGAATCTTTGAAGAGAAGATCTCTTGTGTCGTTGAATGGCCCGAACATGTGAATTGGTCTTCGAGCTTTTACACGATATCCTAGCCAATCTTCCATTTTTAATAAGGCTAGAATAGTATCCGTTCTAGAAATTTGCACGCTATCCTTCCTACGACCAACGATCTGGAAGAACATTGCGATTTATTCGATTTGTGCAAAGAAATGTTAAACATTTAATGCTTACATTATATAGTCTTTTAGCGTTTTGAAATTGATATTTCTGTTTTTTGTTCTACATCAGCATATTTTTCATTGTTTTCGTTACATAAGTTTTTTACATGTAATTAATTATAATTAATAGTTATTTGTGTAACAAGTGAGGTAAGATGAAAATTCCCGGGTGCGGTTACCGCACTCGCCTTGTAAACTCCGCACCCGGGAATTTTCATCTTTACACACGGCTTACACTCCCTATTTTATGTTGCAAGTGCCTGGAAAGTGGTCTATCACGCACGCGTAGCGTGCGTAATGGGGCACTTTCCATGCACGTGTTGCATAAAATATCTTATAGCACAATTACTGCATGTGTATTAATAATATTAAGGATTTTTAACAGAAATATTTAATTTCTTAATTAAACACGATGACGTAGTTTAATTTAAAAATTAAATAATTTCTAAGAAAGTTATTTACCTCACTGTCGATTGTTACCGATAGTGCGCAGAACTCGTCAACAGTAAACCCTGGATTTTGGGCCAAACTTCCATTTTTGCACAAAACACGGTACATATTTGAATCGATGGAGAAGTAGTCGACTGTATAACAAAAATATAATAATTACCAACTATCAAATAAAAAAAATGTTAAGAATAGTGCACGCGACGCGTTTAAATTCAAGTTAGAGATATTTTTCATAATTACGAGTAAAAAGTTATAATAATAAACTTAAGAAAAGATGTTTCCATTAATATATGAAAATGAAAAATTGACAGATTAAAAGCACATTTTGTAAAATACTGATCTTTGAAATTAAAAGAATTGGTAATAGATGATTTCTTAAGCTTTTATATACATTTACCATAGAGAATATTCGCCTTCTCGACAAACGCAATATCGCCAGCTCCTTCAATAAGGCATCGCATGGCCCCTCTGTCACCGTAATAGTGATTAGTTTCGTTCCCTGCGCAGGATGTATTATTTTGATGTCTGCAAGCCGAGCAAAGCTTGGACGCTATGTCCGAGGGGACGGCGGTGCTCGAGTGGTCGGTATCTTCGATTCCGGGGGTACAAGCGCCCGACAGCAGGTCGGACACCAACGATGGATAGTCGCAGGATTTAGACGAAATGATATCGTTTGTTCTAGCCGTGTTGATGAAACTCAACCAGGTGAGTCCGCCGTATTCAGGGAAACATGCTGTTTTATCCTTTAAATCGTGAAAGCTCTTTATGGGGTAATCGTCGCCTCTGGGCTCACGCACTACCGCGAGTGTCACACTATTCTTATCATTATCAGTTTCGCTGTATAGAACCGTTGACATGTCGTAAACCCTGCAAGCAAAATGTAAGAAAAACGTCAAATAATTTTAATGTTGCTCAAAGTTTCGTCGATACTTGAAATTTTCTGCTTACGTTCGTGCCAGATAACCGTAATTAGAATCAATGACCATGATATCCGTTCGATTTTCTTGTATATCGCGGAAGCATTGAAACGTGGAATTTGACTTCATGCAAGAAATGCTCGGTGCCACACCAAGAGCCTTCGCCGCTTTCGCCACCCATTTGCACTTGTTGGTCTCCAGATCGCCGATTGTGCACCAACGAATGTGTTTGCCGCAAGTTTGAATATTGTCGATATCAACGATTCTTCCCTTGCTCAAGTACGTAGCTATGGACATTTTCTCGGTTATCTCGGAGGCCCAACTGTCATCTTGTATAATACTATCTAAAGTAATTAGCCAAAGTTCGGTATGAGGAGGTTTCAGCCATGTCAACAATTTAGACTTTAGAGACTCTGCGATGTCGCTGAAAAAAGGGAATTATATAATTAAGATATATATATTCAAGTGAATTATTTCAAAAAGAGACCTAAATAACTTATATAATTTTCAGAATTATATTTTCGGGAAATAAAAGAAAAAATTTTTCTCATTTATCTTCGTTGCTGTTTGCTTACTTTCTAGCTACAACAACACTCCACGGTTGTTTGAGCCAGGCGCAAGGATTTTCAGTGGATAAAGGAAGAACGGTGCCGCTTGGACATAAAAACTGATACGATTCATTTCTCTGAAACATAATAATTAATTAATATAATAGCATAAAGAGAAGACTCAATATAAATAATTAATAATTGTTATACACGTTGATTCTAGGAGAATTGCTGTAATCGTTTCTTAAATGAAGATAAAGTATCTCACTTACTTTGAGGTAATTCTGAACGTAGTTGAGTGCTGCGTATGCCACTTTACCTTTACCACGAACTAGACATTGCAAAGCTCCGATATGTCCATGATGATCCATATTATCATAACTGCAAGTTACCTCGTTGTCACAAAGAGCACACAGTTCTGGATATTTCTTCTCTGAAAAATATATTATTTATTAATTATACACTTTTTCAAAATAGTGCAATTTTTATTCTTGAATTTATGTATGTTACCTTTAAAATATCTTGAAGTCATCTTTTTTTAAGCAAAAATTTGTAATAGATAATAATTGATATACTTAAGATAAGGAAAATAAGTTTATTTTAATATGTAAATCGACTTACTTAGTTCTTGATCGACGGCGCTATCAGCAGCCCATTCGCCCGGCCTACAAGCTTTTCCAAAAAAATTTTTAAGATTTATGATCTCGTTCTCGATAGCGGTTACATCATCCTGACATTGCGGAGGGTTCACTGAGTTTTCAAAGTTCTTGAGAATATAATCATTCCACCATTGAGATTGGCTAAAACCAGGGTGGCAAAAGCCACTATCTTTCAAATTTTTTAGACGTTCACCAGGGAGTATGTTTTGCTGCGTCAAATCTACGGGGACCACTGCCACCGTTTGGAATTCAAATTCCTCTGTAGAAGTTAAATTATGTTTATAACACATATATTTTTTTTATCAAGATGTGCAATAACATAACCCAAACTTAGATTTTTGCCAATAATAAAGAAAATATCGTAATAATTATTTTAATACTCAATTTAATGCTCAATAATAAGAAATTATTAAAAAATACAAAATTCAGAATTTTTTGGTTTTAATTTTTAGTCAGTTTCAGAGGAGACTGTTAATGATAATTTGTAGTTCCAAAAAAGTAGTAGATATTTTAAAAACATTTAAGGAATATGTTTTAATTTTTATTACTTATATATTGTAAGTTTGAACTAATTTTAAAATTCTTAATTTTACTCGATAAAACTCTTTACGCATTGATCTCTAGTAATTTAATTTTTACTATTAATTTTAATTTCTTTATTTATTATGAATTAAATTTAAGTTGCTTTCTTTGTCTATATGTATATAACTAATGACGTCGCGCCTATAAATAATAACTTTTTATTATATACATTTTTCTATAAGTTTTCGAAAGACTACCTTCCTGCCTATCTTTATGCCTCAGTTGAAGAATGGGTTGTATGTGAGATGAATAGAATTGATGCGTCAACAACAATTCTTCTGCATTAAAGACACCGAAATCAGCTTGGCCTTCAGCTAAGCGGATAGCGCACTCGGCGTTGTCCTGCACTTGCAAACATGACACTTCGCTGTCTCCTCGTTGTAAACTGTAGCACGCAGACTCGCTTACTGTATCGAGGGGTGCGCAGAATTTGTCTGAAAAATTGCGAATTGATCGACATAGAATAACTCATTTACCAATGAGATTTATCAGCTTTTGATAATGTCGCTCATAGAAACCATCAAAATATAAGCTATGAAAGAAAGAAACAGAGAAAGACAGAGAAATAATTTAATTAGGTAATTTAACTAGGTAACGTATTAAAAATGATAAAAATATAATAATGGCGAAATGTCCTTTATTTTCTAATATTTTACATTTTAAATGCTTATCATATTTTTATCGACGATTTGATCGAAGTTTACTTCAAGTTCTCTTTAATCAAGATAATTCATAGAGTGTTATCACTATCTCGAATATTTGATCTTATGCGTTTACCGAATTCAAGTTAATTTTGGCCGTTTATGATGCATCAAGAGATAAAAATTTAATGAAACTCTCGAAAAGTGTGATAGTAAAGTAAATGATATAATATAAAATAAATATGATATAAAAAACGGCGGTTAAACATAAATACGAAATAAATACAGATTAACTCTATAGAGTTAATATTCATATTGCTTTATACAGCAATATAGGTATATCCATATAAAATAATGCTGTAAATTGTAATCCTTTTAAACACATTGCCTAGATGCCTTACATAATATCTTTATTTAATAATATCAGTATACATTTATAACATAAAATAACAACTGTAATATATTTTATATTGGCAAGACTATATTACGTCAATTGCAATCAAGTAATTTGATCATTTTCAAGATATCTGCTTATCTGATGCTTGATAATGTCTAATAATGCAAAGAATAAGCGTTATCATAAATTTCTGACTCAAACTTCTAAAAAATTAATCACATTTTAAATGTTCACGCTGTCACGCATCTTAACTGGACACAAAAACGTATCTATTAAGTATAAATTTTTAAAATTTATATATTTTTCTAATAAGGATTAAAGAATTCTTTTTTAGAATCGCTGTTCAGAATCATTTGTAACTTTCAAATATTTACAAATACAAAAATTTCTTAGCTATTTTATATAAAAATAATATATAAAATAGTAAAAATAGTTAATTAATTTATACATATTTAAAAAAATTAATGTAATACTTTATCTCATCTATAATATATTTTTTATTGTTCAAAACTGTAACTTGTTTAAAAAATTATAGATATACATATTTTTCATGATTCTACTATGAGCACTATTGATTGATTTTGTTATCAATACGTAACAAATCGGACTTTGCCACGGCATATGAAGCTTAAGATACGCATTTTAAAATGGTATGATTTTTGATTTGCAGAATATTCCCGGAAAAATGCAGTAAAAACTAAACCCGTATATTTAATATTACATATACTTAATAATATTATTACAAATACCATTAAAAAGTTTTATTAAATTAATTGATAATAAAAACATGACACTCATCATATAACTACACAGTTTCTGCATTTTTAATTTTGCGCGTAGGGTAAATAGATAATTTTGATAAAATAAATTTACTTACATTTATATTGCGCACGTGCAGCGGCAACGAGCAGAATTACCCAAACGAGATTCCTCATTGCTGATCTGGAGGCAATATCCAGTGAGAGTTTGATACGAACTGAAATGATTGAACCGTTTTTCAACGTGAACTGCAAAAGAGGAACTAGGTGTGCCTCTTCACACGAACCGAGTGATAAGAAGCCTCCGATAACGAACGCACACGCCCTATACATACATATACCGCTGTATTATTATCGCGATTTCTGTGTAACCATGTTGTCCTATCCTTCAGGGATCGGATTATTGGCGCAAACCATCGATTGTGGAAACAGCGTATTCATCACAGGTTTATTTCGGACGATTTGTATTTCAGGATAAAGTCTCCGATAAAATTCTACATGTAATTTTGTAATAAATACGACATAAATTTGTAAATAAATTATAATATATTTGTAATTATGCATAAATAAGTTTAAAAAAGTTAAGTTAAACAAATTAGAAGAAACTCTTATGTTACACTAATCGGAAGTTTGAGTTGTGATTATGTACGTGGGCGCAAATATGTGATTTAAATCATTGTCACACACACACACACACACACACACACACACACACACACACACACAC